TTCTTTCCTATGCGACTTTTTCACCTAGGCAGCTGGGTCACGATGCTCAAACTTGTGTTGCCCTCGGCACTGCCGCAGTCCAAAGACCGTTTCTTGCCACGGCCAGTATCCGTACGCAGGTGGCTGGTTGGGCAATGATCGCATCACATACCGCTGCGTCAGTACGTCTGCACTCCCGCTGATGTCCACGGCGAGACGAGTTCAAGAGTCTGGTAATCTAGTTATGAGATCCGACCGCGGGCACGACGATGTTGTCAGCAAAGGAACCTCAACTTCCATGAGGCGCCTTCCAAATGTCGATAGCCGCGAACATCCAGGAGCACACTACAACATCCCCACACCGCCTGGAGCTGGTAGGTAGTGATGGGGATGTTTTGTAGACGGTAAGACATGGTGACATTAGTAAATGGCCTCTGGCTAGTAGGGAGCATTCGTGAGAGGTCCCGAGGATAGGTACGTCTGGCAACGCGGAACCGTCGGCGTCGGGTGTCAGGTAGCCGTGCCTCGTATGCAGACATGCCGCTGCCTTGGTACCTAGCCAGACGGTCGAATCATATAGTCACGCCAGTCCCGCCTTTGGTGACTTTGCTGGGCTGGGCGGCTGGGAGGCGGCACGCGAATGTTGGTGCTAAACCAATGTGGTAGCAAACTGACGATGTGCCGGGACAAACTTGGGAAACGGTGCATTTCAGGCCTCTAAGCTCTGGGGCTCGGTAGGTATGTACTCAGGAGCCCTGAAGAGGGCGAGAACGCGGGCGATGGCAGGCATCGGAGACTTCATGACAGAGCAGACGTTGCGCCCGGCAGACCTCGTCATTGGCTGTCGCCAAAGCCGCAGCGGACGACAGGCCCTTCTTCGGCGTCCTATGGGCAGATCTGGTCGAGAAGCGGATAAACGTGAGAAGATCGCTCGCGAACCATGACGAGTTGAACCGTGATCAGCCCACAGAGTCCGAGAATTGTTACAACGGCCTGGAGCCTGACGTTGTACCCTGAAAAATTCTCGTCGACGTGCATTTTTTTCTTTCTTAGCAAAGACTAGCGGAAAGTTTGGACAAGTTTTGACATCGTCAACGTCCCGGATCGGTGTCCCTGATTCAAGCTGGCCAAATCCTAACAATCGATCTAGAGACTTTGATGCTGTCGCCTATCACTCTGTTGAGCATAGTGTGGGGGCCTTCCTATGGCCATCTCCGCGTCAGGGTGCCATCGGCAACTGCGGTTGCCTTGTCCTTGGTATGCAATGAACGATATTGGAAAGGCAGACGTACAGAAAGAGACCAGGAGTCTTCGTCGTCTGTACGGATGCAGAGTGCGTGGTATCGCAACGGGTCCTGACCGCGAGGGGCATCTGATCGGGTTGGATTCTGGAGCTCTCGCCATGTCCAGCCCGGGTTCCCCTCGAACCTAGTTGCGGTGAAGATGCCCAAAAGCCCCATTCTGCAGGTAATCCTGTAGAGGCTGGCTTGTGCCCTCTCAGAAAAGAGGGGATCCATCGAGAAACTAGGATAGGCCGCAAAAATAGTCCCAGAAAAGAAAAAAAGGTCGAATCGATAGCTTTTCGGCTGGCCCAGGTTGAGCATCCACATGATGGGGCCCTCGTGCCCTGCCACCCGCTAGAGGCGGATGGTGGAGTTGGACCCTTGGACAGGCACGACAGGCACGACAAGTTTGGAGAAAGACCACTTTAGCCTTTGCGTCTTCTCTGCGTCTGTGGGCCATCGATAAAATTCGGTGCAGTTTGTTGGTATTGGTGTGATGAAATCCCACCCGATCTTCGGGCCTGGAACCTAGTGACACCAAATAGGTGACGACTACTCGCCGGAGACTGGGCGACTGGTTTCCTGATACACCACTCTGACTCCGTAGTGCTTTGTCTTCCCACCAGATGATCATTCATAGCGGATGAGTTGTCAACACGATTGCCCGTAGAGTTCGGCGTGGAGTCGGAACCCTTCCTTGGAAGAGACCAAGGGAGACCGGCTGTCATTCCGTGTTGAGACTTGGTTTTCAGGGTCCAAAGCAAAACCCCTAGCATCTCATAGCGTCGTGGTCAGTTGTCGGCGCGGTTGAAAGGCCGAGATATTCATAGAATAGGCGGCGGTGCAAGGGGAGCCTTAATTGGGTGTCACTATCCGTCCGCAGTATGTCAGTGACGGCCAGCCGCGTGCCAAACCAGGAGAACCAGCTTGGGCCTGGCAATGGCAGACCTGGCGCGCTTGCTATGTATTTCCTCGGCCTGTTGTGTTCGACGGCAGGACCGCGAATTTTCTCCGTAAAATGCCTTGCACAGCGGACCGGACTCAGCTGAATGCGTCGAACACCTTAGGTGCTGTATACCGTAGACTTAGAAGGGCACTTCAGATCGCCAGCGCCTTCCCTTGTGAAAGTGTTCCCGTCAGGTGGCTGAGCCTGAGAATTTCTCGTTGTATCACGTCCTGCATGTTGATGGAGTCTGGAGATTCTTTGCCAGCCTGCCAGGAACCCCCCTAGGGTTGCGAACTTGCGGCGGTCCACGGGGTGGTTAACACGAGGCACCGCCCTAGACACCTCGTTCAAGGGGGCACCGCTAGGCCGAAAGATCCATGATAGAAAGAAGATGCACTGTGTCTTTGGCCAGCTGCACCCCGGGGCGTGCAGCTGTGTAGAGCCGGGTCTACCGGTCAGTCTTGAGCTGGTGAAAATGAAGGCGCCTGATAGGTCGAACGTCTGAGCGGTCGTACTCCCTACACCGAGTCTCAAAAGACTGAGCCAACATTTTGCTTCTCGAGCAGCGGGTCAGCTTCACCCTGACTCGCGATGAAATGCAACAATGCGAATCCCTTCCAACTTCCAAGTTCTTCTTCTTTGCATACTGTATTTGCGGGTATCGAGCCATTTCAAAGCACAATGAAGGTTGCCACCAGTGTTGGGAACACGAGAACTCCTAGTCAAGGGTAGCTCACGTCAACCTACGGCAATGGCCCCAAAGCAAGCTCTCTGTCCGTACTGCCACGACATGCTGATAGTGTACTTTGGACGAAGGCACAACGATACTCCAAGGTCTCGAAAGGGTTTCTTCCTCTTTTCCCGTTGATACAACGGTGAGCGCCTTTGAACGCAGGGCTGGAAATTCGTGGACGTTGTAGCGCATGGATGGCCATGCAGACCGCCCAAGAGTTTGTGAGGTTGCCCAATCACAGGGTCGACATTTGAATTCTCCAAGCCATGCAGCCTGCTCATATCCGGGGAATGGGCATTGTCTCCAGCGGCAACCAAGCGCAGGGCTGGGGAGGCTTTCTCATTTCCAAGTCGATGCCTCGATGCCTCGCCAGGTTGTGGATGATAATATCTTGCTTCTGTCAACCGTATCGTGTTGCGTGCGAAGTAGCAATGCTGGTTCATGCACCTGAGAAGACAAGTCTCACTTGTGACCACGGCGTGCGTTGACTTGCTGGAGATGCGACGCTGTTAACCATCCTCCTGGGCTTGGTATCCAAGGCACGTGATTCGAGGTCGTCGTTGCTGAAGACCATGAACTTGGGAAGCTGGATGGTTTGTTGGCTGCACGGCAGCGATGGCCCTGGATGCGTGCCCGGATCTCACCTGAGTGGATTATGAATTCTTGATTCCTGGTAATTAGTATCCGTACTGCGATGGCACGGATGATCCAGCCTTTTGACCCCTGAATAAACTGAGTGGCGAGGGCCAAACATGGGTTGAGAACTCTTAACGGGCCACGAGAGCACCGAGCGCGTCGCAGCTACTCGCTAACCGTGAAAGCGAAAGTCCAGTACGGTGTCTGCATAATGGCTTCTTTCTCCAGATTGCAATGCGCCTGGCTTAGGTGGAGGATTCCTAGACCACCAGCATTTTGTAACCGTATTCAAAACCTGTATGAATACCCTCAGGCTGAAGAGCAAAATGTTTGAATTGCAGTGGCAGGAGTCGAGGAGGAAACACAAGTGCCCTGCCGGAGGTGAGCCGCGATCCGAGGCGACAAGACTGGTGAAAGCAACGCGCCTGATAATGTTTGGTTTGTGTGTGAGGCGCGTAGGAGGATCATCATCCGGACACACAGCTACCGGTTGCCATCCAGACTTCAGAGAGTGTGAAATTGTTTCCTGTGTGCCAGTCACGTTTGGCCGGTGGAGCCCTTCCGCTCTCAACTACCCTCGGGGGTGCTGCTAGTCTGTAGATGACAGAACTGAATTGAGAGAGGCGTCTGGGCACTGTATCTAGGACAGTGCCTCGGAGAGTGGAGCGTGCGGTATTTCTCTTCCTCCGCTGCAATCTCATCCAACTTCCAAGCCGGCAGAAGATGAAAATGCAATATACTCACATTTGCAGTACGTATCCGTAAAGCTTTGTTTTTGCTGGGCCTTGCTGCGGGTAGAGACGATAATGCCAAATGTGAAAATGCCGCGTTTGGCTAGGTGCTGGGCTCCCGGCAAGCCACCGCTGTCTTCGACGAATGGACGGTGGCACTGGTGGTCACTGATGAGCTGCAGGAATGAATCTTGGTGCGGTGAAATTGGAAATCCATTTTGTGTTTTGCTACGAACCTCTGTACTTCGTGACAGGGTTTCGCCCGCGTGGCCCGAAGAGGTTTGGGAATTGACTGCCACGTTTGCTAGAAAATGTTGATCAGGTAGCGGGACAGAGGCACGGAGGCAACTGAGACTGAGATACGCACACATGAAATCACGAGGCAGCCTCGTCTCGATGAAGCGAACTGGATATACGAATAGTTGACTGCGCGTCGTACTGGATCTCGCACCCTCTCAACGCTCGGTGCGGCTTAGCTAAGGCAATACGGACCTGACCCTGCAACGGGAATACCCTGCGTACTCTGGTCAGGACAGGTGGTGTCGGAGGCGATGCTCCCGAGGCAAGCCGCAGAGATGAAGATGGTTGTACGAATAGTCGAACACATACGAATAGCAGCCCTTGCCTCGCTCACCGGTGGTGTTTCCAACATGTCGAGATCAGCGCCGATCCCATCCATGATCCATCTCATCCTAGGCGGGCCTGGCAAAGAAAACCGTAGCAATGGGCCGAAGGTGAGGCAAATGCGAGGCACAAGGAGCGAGACCTCTTAACGCCTCATCACGGCCAATATCCGCCAGGCGCTGGCCGTTCAATGCGTTAGTGGTCGGTATGGTGACGGTGATTCGTGAGTGGGTGCTCTGCCGTCGTCATAGCCTGCCCAGCAAACCTGGGAGTCCGGGCTACCGGACTGGGGGATGATTTTGGCTGGGGAAGACAGGTGCAAGCTCAGACTCGCACTCTGAGAAGGACAAACTGCGTGCTGCCCGTCTTTGGGACCCTCGGGCGGCGACCAGGCCACAGAGATCACCCAGCAGATCGGATGATGGGCACAGTCCACCGACTCAGACTGTCCCTTGCCCATTGCAGTCGGAAATGCAGGCCAAGTGTGATGGGCCCTGAACTCCCATTCGCCGAACCCCGAATTAAGAAAAGGCCATTGCCCAGAAGCAAGAGACGGAGTCACGGAGAGCCCACGGCAGAGACGCAGAGAGCAGAGAGTGCCCAGTGTCACACTGGTGCTTGGTTAATTGCCCTGCCCTTGCCCCTGGTGCGAGTGTTGCGTGTGGGCTGTGGATGACTGCGAAACCAAACTCGTTGAGTATGGAGGCTTGTTGCTAGGTAATTGCTATCGAAAGGACCAGTCCTCTGTCAGGTCTGTGGCCTAGGCTGGGCTGCCCAGGACGCTCTCAGGGATGAAGTGTATATATGGAAGATGAGGACCCACTGTTTAACTCCATCGTTTTACATTACTAGAGGATTACCGCAGTATATATAGACGCTACCCTGCCCTCGAATTCCGCACTATTTAACCTTAACCCTTTTCTTACCTATTCTTTCTTCTATTTTACCCTCTCCCTTATTAAAAGATCGCTAGAATTATAATTTTAATAGCTTATTAATAAACTAATATTATTATTTAAAAATAAGTAACCTACTCTTATATATAAGTACTAAAAGTCTTATTATTATAAAAATAGTAATAAATATATTAAAGTACTTAAAAAAGCTTTTTAATAAACTTTTAATACTATTTAAAATAATTATCCTCGAGTTATAAAAAAAAACCGAGGTACTATATTAATACGGCCCTATTTATCTCGTTAATATTAATAATACCCTTTTTAATATAAAATATATTAATAATACTCTACGGCCGTATTATTATACTTTATAAATCGTACCTAACGTTAATAAGGATTCTAACGTTATTTACTAAGTATTTTATTAAAGTTATTATTATAAAGTTAGTTTAGTTATTAATATTTTAATAAGTATTTTAACTTAACTTAAAAGCTCTTATAGCTCTTAATTAAAAGCTTTTAAAAGACTTATAATTAAACTTTTTATTTATTATAAATAAAGCTATTATAGTTAAAGCTATAGCACTATTTACGGACCTTAATAATAAATAGTTAGTAATATAGTTATTTTTTTTTTATAATAAGCTTAAAAAAATATCTTAATTTAAGTATTAAGTAGGTATTATATTATTTTATTAAAACTATATTCTTATACTTGTGACTTAAAAAGAATTAACTTTCTTCGATAATAAGGTACTTAGGAAGATAAGGACCAGGGCGATGCAGCCGCCAAACGGGGTCACGGGAATCGTCACTAGTTAGACCCAGAGAATCTCAGAGGTGCCGAGAGCTGCGACCAAGGCGGTCAGCGGTCAAGCCAAAGAGATGATGCTTGTCGGTGCTGGTGGAGGGGGGGAAAAGGTACCTCACAGGTTGCCTCGGTGCATCTTGTTGATACGAGTACCTGCTATAGTCGCGACATCCCAGCCTCCTTGACCCATATGCAAGGTACAGGCGACTGGCATAAATTGCACAAGGCTAGCCCAATACTCTGTAGTACATCTAGAAGCCTTGCGAGACTGGGGCATCCCATTCTCAAGGAACGCTAGAGCCGAACCGCCATTAACGACTTTTTTTTTTATTCCTTGCGCGCCGAATGACCTGTTTGGCTTTTGTTTCCATGGTGCACCCGGGGGTGTGAGAGGTGTGCTGGTTACTCGATCCGCATGGATATGGGAAGGGAGACTCGGAAAGATTCGAGATGGTGCGGATGCCTTGGTGTGCGTTCGACTACTGTGTTATGCGTACTATGTAGACGACGTCGTCGCCAGGGCAGTTTGGTTCGTCGTCAGGTAGACCAGATACAGCAGATACGGCAGACTATTGAATGATTGTTGTTCCTCGTCACTTGTGCTCGTGTGCCGGACGACGGGTGACTATGGAAATCAGATCGAAGCTGCCATTGATGGTAGGTATTGTGAGCTGTCATTGTTTCCTTGTGGATGAAGCCTATCTGACAGTCAGCTTTGCTTTTTCTCATTGCCGTTGGTCCTCTCACGTGCATGCCATGCCATCGACTTTGCTGCAGTCTCCGCGTCTTAACTGATGCCACGATGTGACAGGAAGAGTAGGTACTCGAAGTTTGTCCTGTCATTTCACTGATGGTTTGCAAGAAAGGCAGTCAACGACACAGATACAGCGTAGCGTCTCTTGTCAAGAGCGGTCTCACCTCTCTCGCGTCGTGCCAGTCTCTCTGGTACACCACCGAATTGTCCATGTTCTTCCATTTCCATGACGAGAGGTTCGAACTTTTGGCTGCTCTGTGTCGTGGTTGTGTTTTAGCGTGAGCTTTACTACAGAGACACCACCAACTTCGGGCCATTGAGACGTGCACCCCCAGGCAGTGCCTTGGACTCCACCAAGCCCGATTTGATTGGAGGAAGTGGTCAAGCAGGACTGGCCAGGAAGGTCAGGTTCGAAGGAGGGCGGCAGCCAGCCATCCAGCAACAAGCCATAATAACAACAGAGCAGGAGCCAACCAGCCCAGGAGCAGGAAGGAGCGTGGGAGCAGAGGCAGGAGGGCGAGACACCGGCCAGCGCTCCTGCAGTGTGTGAGTGCCAGGAGTGAGGTGCAGGCAGGTGCAGGGCAGGTGCGATGCTGCAGGTGTGGCCCACCCCCTGCCTCCTGTCTTCTGTACCGCCCTCCTGAGTCCTGGCCAGTGGCTCCTCTTCCTTCCTGCCTTCGGGCTGCTGCTTCCTGCGCTGCCTCGACTGTCTCGACTGTCTCGAGCGTGGTCTCTCCTTCCTTCCTGCCCTTTTTTGCCGCCTACGTCTCCTGCAGTCCTGCTCTCTCCCGCGCCTGCCTGCCTCTTTATTGTAAAGCCATAGATAACTCCCTGTCACAACTGGCAAGTGGCCCTTGCACCTGCACCTGCACCCAAGGCACGGATACACCTGCAACATGTTGCTGTCCCAGTCATGTTTTTGGCTGCCCTCAGGCATTTCAACCCGACTGACTGCCGTCCCTCCATGAATGAGAGGGTTAATGAAAGGCAGAGACAGATGTGCAGCATCGGGAATCCAATGCTAGAGCTAGGCCAATTATGTTGCTGCCTCAGACAGCAGAGTTCACTCACCCAACACCACCACCACCTTGACCCAAGTTCAGCACACAGATAGGTACTCACAAAGTGGTGAGCGCAAGTGAAATAAATCCATGGATCAAAATGGAAAGTGAGTGCCCGTCCGGCGTGAGGTGTACAATGGCGGTTGGCGGTCCAGTGATCCACCCACCCAGCAGCACTTTCCCTGGACCATCACCAAACAACGGCTAATGACTGGTCGATGCCCAGTTCCTTCCCCCTCCAGCGTGGCCCCCCCGGCTGCTTCGCAGCAGGAGCGGTGTCGTGTCGTGGACTCATGGAAGGTGAGAGTGGAGCCGGGGGCAAGAGTGCCCCCTTCCCTCTTTCAACTTTGACGTCCAATCTGAAGATTGAAACCCACACTCGTCCTCAATCATCCGGTGCCGCCCTTTTCTGTCCTAAAACGGGGGTCGGGAGATACGTATCGATCCCTCGCTTGTCCCGATGACGAAGTACCTCCGTACCTTCTTTTAGCGTCGTGGTCCCGTCGGAGCCAGTCACCCTGTCGTCTCCACGTTCGATCCAATCCAAGGCCCGCCCATGTTTTTTTTCTTCCTTTTCTCATTTGATCATCCATCATGTTTTTTATTTTAATTTTCGTCGTAACGCATTTTTTCCATACTGCTCGAGTTTGTAATTCCAGTCTACTATGTAATTCCGTGTCTGGCTCTCACCACCGAAGTGAGCGGGGGGTGGCCATGGGCAGTTGCCAACCATACTCTTGTAGCACCACTCTTGCCGTCCCCTTCTCATCCCCGTTGCCAATGTGTCCCAAATTGCTCTTTTGTCTACTTGTACCAGTCGACACGGCGAGGAGTACATAGAGCCATCCAGACACGGCACTGCCCATCCCACGATCAGCGAGACCTACGGAGTACGGAGTACATACCTACCTACATACACTATCCGAACACTGCTGCTCACAACCGGTCATTCCTGTGTTAAGGTGCCCGTGTCAGAGTACCTACAAATGCCCTGTTCTACTCTGTACTCTTGCCCCAAGTACCTACCCTGTGCTGCCAGCTGAACACTTGTAATCCCCTTCTCGTCTCGTCTCGTCTTGTCTCTCTGAGGTGTACATTCAAACTGTACAAGCTGCCCGTGGGACCTCTGGTGTGGAAAGAATACATAATACCTTACTACGTAATGTCAGCGAAAGATACTTCATATTGCTGAACCGTCAATCGACACGATGTTCTATTCCTCAATTCCCCTAGTGTCCAGAAAAGGTGGGTGGTGCTTGCTGCAGTGTGTGAGTTTTTTTTTTTTAATTCCCTCCAGGCCCGCTCCTGTTTCTTCTGGCCTGGTTCCTCCAGGGCGGTAGGAAAGTATTGAGGTACTTTGCTGGAGGTACCCTTACACTGACAGCCCAGGTGCACCGCACAGAGTATGGAACCGATGGGTGCCCACTTTGCTGCCGGGCTGTCCACTCCGTCACTGTCACCCCGTTTTCTTGGTCCTCCTACCTAGTCCCTCAAAGTACCCGTCACCGGCTTTTTGCCGCATAGGTACTGGCCTCATCCCAAGGAACAAGGTACCACGGCCAGGTACCGGGCTCGTCTGGGCTACCTGAGTCCTGGGTCCTCAGGTACCTATCCGCACTCCGTACACCACCCGACTACTGGGCTGCTACCGCCCCTTCCACCACCCCTTCCACCCTTCTCTCACTCAACTTCGCCCTCTCTCGCCTCCATTCACACGCACGCCGCCATCATTCCTCTCTCCACTTTACATCCTCACCCCCGTCCCCATTTCTCTCTCTCTCCCCATCTCCATCCCATCCATCCCAACCCGTCCCATCCATTCTCACTCCTCGAGATTCTTCTTGTCCGACTTTATTCCTCCTTCTCTCCCCTCCCCGAAACCTTCTTCTCTTTTCAAACCTCCGAATCCGCCGTATCACGACGAAATCCCCTGTCCTCGACTCTGCACGATATTTCCATCCAAAGCCGTCGACAACTCAGGATTCAGGTTCTCATCTCCCATCTCCTCTACTGCACGATATTGTCGAATTCGATCGTCGCCTCTCTACAACAACCGCCCGCCTGCCCCCCATACAGGGCCGACTACGTTTAGGTGCACGACACTGAGCAAGAACGTAACAAATCGAGTCGACTTGATCGCGTCTGCTGCTCGACACTTGGAACACCTCCAAGTTACACCGTCCTTTTCGAATTCGCACACCTGTTTACGGTCACCTTCCTCAAGGTAAGCTACAATCCCAACAGTGCGAACCTCCAATCTATCCAGAGTCATCCTGGAGAGCCTGGTACACAAGCTTCATCCAACTACTCGACGCCCGAAATGCGATCGAATTCCACATGCGGTATCGATAGAAGGCATGCTTCGGTATGGTCTGGAGACGTTCTGCCACCCATGTGCTACGATCGAACCGGCCTCAGTCAATGACCAGCCCTTGGTTTTAAGCACTGCAGTCCCAAACGGCCACATTCAAGCAGCAGCAAATGTTTCCTCCATGCTGGTGCGCTGGAGCTACACAATGGCCACTGCATTGGTTGACCACAGGGGACCCCCTTCTCTGCCGCTGTCGCCTACGTCGCCTCCCAGCATTTCCTCACTCCAATACCGGCCCGCCACTACTTGACGCATCGTTCGACGAAGCTTGTGTATCAGACTCAAGGCACAGACAGTCAAAGTTTTTTGATTTCCTGGATATTCTCGCTGACCATTCACCAAACAGGACAGAGCTGCGGCTTTCCATTTCATTTGCACAACTTTCTTCGTCCCTTCTATTGCGGCCTTTAGAACTCCTCTGACGCCCTCGACGACCTTTCTCCGTTCAAGCATCCTTTTCCCGAGTCAGCCATCACTGCATCTCTTCCTCCGCCCAAGATACATATCTTTCGCTGGGTCTTTCAGCCGTCCTCGATTAGCGACACGACTGCTGCACCTTTTTCATCGATCCGATCTCTAGACGTCTTGTTGCCCCTCCCCTCGTCGCGACTTCAACCCTTGATGGCTATTCGCAGCTACTAAGGGCTCGTGTCACCAACCCTCTCACCCAACCGACACACCGACTTCCATCGGCCTTGGACAACCATCGCTAGCTCGACGCGGCATTTCTCCCACTGCTAAGTGTCTCTTCCGAGTACATCGAGCAGTATCCTCAAGCCGACAAAGATCTACATTCGATCTTCGTCGGACTCCACTCAATACCGCCATCATGCCCGGAGGTGTCTGTGCCGTTCTCGACTACGAGGTCGACCAAATGGCCGAGTTCGTTGCCGAGATGGCCACCCGCGTTGTTATGCCGCTGTCGACCACGGCCGTCACGCCCCCGTTCCGCAAGTTCGTCTCGCAGATCCTCTCATCGACGAGATTGCCCAAGAGCACCATTCTCCTCGGCATGAACTACCTGGCGAAGCGGGTCAACACCCTCAAGCAGAACAACCCCTCGTACACTGTACCCGAGGGACAGGTTTGGCGCATGCTGACCGTTTCCCTCCTGCTTGGAAGCAAGTTTTTGGACGACAACACCTTCCAGAACCGTTCTTGGTCTGAGGTGAGCGGCATCCCCGTCGCTGAGCTCAACGCTCTGGAACACGAGTGGCTCGAGCAATCCGGCTGGCGTCTCTACGTCAACTTGGATTACAGCGCGGACTACAAGGCTTGGCTCACCAGCTGGGATGAATGGAAGATCCTAAAGGACCAGGCTGCGGCAAGAGTCACCCGCGAGAGACTCGTCCCCGCCATCGACACCAACATCAACAACAGATACGGTGGACGATCCTCCTATCATACGTTTGTTCAGCAGCAGGCGGCTGAATACGAGCGCTACGAGGCTATCAAGCGCAACGAGTTGGCTCATCAGCAAGCCTACGGCGGCAACTGGAATTGGCAGAATGCCCCGCTCACTCCTCCCGATTCTGGCTATGGCACGCCCGAGTACATTAATTCAGCCACCTCTACCAACGCTCGCTACAACGATTGGTTCTCCCAGGCCGCTACCACTGGCCAGTGGAACACCCGCTATCAGCAGCCCCCGCACAACTACTATGGTCACCGCCACAACCAACAAAACTTCCCTGGACACTATGGTTACCAGCAAACCATGTGGGAGCACGGTGTTGCGGAGTGTAGCTGTGCGAACTGCGTTGGTCCTACCAAGGCATCATCATACTTTGCCCACCCTAGCTTTGGCCAGCCTGTAATGGGCTAAAGTTGTGGCAAATCTGGCAGATTCACTCAATCGCCTTACGAAACTGGAAGAGATTTTTGCTATCGGAAAAGTTTGGGAGGTCTAGCGTCACCGGAGACGCGGACTTTGTTTTTTTTCTGGCATGAACGATACATTTGCATTCTTCAGATACCCTCTCACGACGAGAACCGAAAGAAGCGGTTATTTGACCGAATGGTCTACACGTCGGCATTCGACTTCACGACACGGGCACGTTTGCCCTCACTCGATACCATCGCTGCCACACGCGATTGACTTGGCTACTAGATTGTCTCGCAGCCACAATGCGTTTGGAGGTGGATGGTCACGACGCGCGGCTGCGACCCCTAATGACATATTTCTTTAATTCTTTCTCCCCTGGTATACGGATAAATTCATCACTGGCGTCCCACGGTCGCCATTCGCGATCCCCACGGAGTTTTCATTTCAATAGATCCTTTGGCTGTATTTTTGTTTGGTGTGATGGTGGTGGTAGTCTCTTGGCATTCACCTCACTGCTCAATCTTCGTACATCGACTCATGGTTCCGATCGGTCATTACCCGCGACAGCAACTCTACGAGTTTCGATTCCCGAGTCCCCCCGACGATTACCTACCACCAGCGACATCCATTTCCTTTGTGGCACGCCAAAGAGACAAACTTGTTTTCCTGTAATTCAACCTATTCGGCAACAACTCGGTTCCCTATCCCGGCTTGCATTCCGTCTGCGAAAGGCGGAAATTCCAGCTCTCAATTCGACAAGACCTCGCGGTCATTGGCGCCCGCCTTGTCGGCGCTGCCCCCTCCAAAAAGAAAGGACGAAGTGCATCAAGTAAAGGGTACATAGGATCACATTTCACTTTACTGGCTGGCTTTGCGCGGGCATACGATTTTCTACTTGCGAGAACGAAAAAAAAAAGGGGAGACTTAACATGGGGAGGTGTTTTGCATTCATGTTCACTGATCAAAAATGGGAGGCAAAGCCTTCAGGACGTGGGTACGGAGTCTCTCTTACTTTTTACTTTGTTTGGCATTTCTTGTTCATTCGGCACACTGGCTCGTCTCATTGCCCGGAAGGCACAATGTCAGAGGGCCACTGCTGTTTCTACGCCTTTTTACTGTTCATGACATTGTTAGACGTTTTTTTTTTTCTCTTCATGCCAACTTGTACCGGCATCCACTAGAGTGTTTGGGATCGGGGTTGGATACATTCAGTTTATGGGAAGGCAGGTTATCTGCTCCCCGACATGTGGATGGTGATGGGAGTGGTGGTTTTACGGATATGAACCCAACGAACCAGGCAGCTGTCGGGACTGGTGCTAGATTTGTATGTCGCCCAGTGGCCGCTGGTTAAGTAGGCACGTCGTCATGGGTACCGGGTACGCTATGATGTGGTTTACATCATTAGTAGGATTGAAAAAAGTTTTCGCCGAAAGGACGAGATTGGAAAGGAAAACAACGGATGGAGCACACAACGGCATACCCACGGGCGACGACAATGACATGGCCTACTTAGTGAAGACACTACAGTCCTAGACAACTAAACAAAATAACAAAACATGATGAAGCCAACACATTCGTCTCAGACGTTTCGATTGTGACATGAAAGATTACTTGACGGCGGCGTGAATCTGAAGGGCTATGAGAAGATGAGGTCTTGGGAGGAGGAATTTGGTGATGACTTGGAGTGGTGCTTGATGACCCAAGTGGCCCAGCCTACTTTTGATTGGATTGCTGCCCCACTCCAACGAGTACAGTGATTTTCTGCTCCCTGATTCGCTCATTTGCCAACTTTCCTCCAACTTCTCAACTTCGACCTCGGCCTCATCCTCTCACTCACTTGAGGCACTCACTCGCCCACAGACGTCTTCTTCAAGGACATCTTTCCTCTATCAGAGAGAGAATTTGTGATAACCCAAAATTTGAGGACCGTTCTTTTACTGGAACCTTTGCGTCATTTTGCCTGACGCCAGGCTCCCAATCTGAGTATCTTACGAACACCTACCTCACTGAGCATAAGACGGCCTACACGAGTGCTTGGCTGTACCCTAGCCTTTACCCCAGACAAACCGACCAACAACAGCAAGATCCAAAAAGCTCAGGAAGACAAGTAGCTCTCAAAGGGGTTCAAGACGAGGGAGAAAAAAAGAGGCTGCTTTACATCGATCAAGGCAGCAAATCAACCTGGGCCGTTATTCCTCCGTTCTCCATTCTGTTGCAGACGCGGAAGCCTTTCTCTGCTATTCTGCCCTAGAAGAAGGTTTCGATTATCGAACCTGGTGAAGAATCAACTTTTGAGGAAGAAGAGAAAGAGAGGAAGAGGGGGAAAAACTCACGAGACACGATGTCGAGATTCGTATCGGCGGGGGCCATCAACGCCGAGACAGGCGAGGCCGTACCCCAAGACACAACCGCAACGCCCGCAACAGACGCCGGCGCGAGCACCGCCGGCTCGGCGCCCAAACCCGCCGCCGAATCCAGAAAGAGCGCCGAATGGGACCTCGTGCAGAGAGAACTCGACGCGGAACGCAGGCGCAGGGAGGAGGCGCGCGTCAAGTCCGTCGAGGGCGGGGAGAAGAGTCTCTACGACGTCCTGCAGGCGAATAAAGCCGCGAAGCAGGCTGCGTTTGAGGAGGCGAATAAGATCCGGAACCAGTTTCGCGCGCTGGATGATGATGAGATTGGGTTTTTGGACGAGGTTAGGGAGGCTAAAAGGGCTGAGGAGGAGAGAGTTAGGAGGGAGACGGAGGAGGGGCTTGTTGCTTTTCGGAGGGCGCAGGGGGGTGGTACGGGGGCGAAGAGGGCTGGTGATGGGGGGGAGGAGGGTGAGGAGGGGGATGGGATGGGTGGTGAGGGGGAGGGTGGTGATGAGTGGGCTGTTGGGCCTAGGAAGAGGAGGAGGAAGGAGAGGGAGAGGGGGTTTGGGGTGAAGAGGGAGAAGGGGGGCGAGGACAAGGTGGATGAGAAGAAGGCGGACGAGAAGGGTGATGCTGAGAAGGGAGCTGTGAAGGGGAGTTCGATTGGAGCTGCGACTACGGCTACGATTACGACTACAACTGCCCCTGCGCCGGTGAAGGGGAAGCTGAGTCTTGTTGCGTACGGATCTGATTCGGACGATGAGTGAGAGGAGATGGGCCGATGGATCCTGGGACATGTTGTTTCTATGCCAGAGCACTTGACGGGGTGCTGTCATCATGGAGGTGCTGCTTCATCTGTAGATATTGATACCTGCTTCATGCTTGACGTGTTCTCCAGCTCGAGCAAGTACACAACTTATCCGCAAGAGCCCACAGTCTCACGATGCAATGTGGACAGAAAGGTTATCGGGGAAAAGAACATGATGGAAGAAAGAGGAGTGTATAGTAATATTCGTAACAAGCGGAGGGCTTCATGGCATTATTTTGGCCAGTGAACCCATAGTCTATGATAACCTCCCGCGCTCCAGTCCATGCAGCGAAACGGAAGAAGATACATGAAAAAGCAAAAGATGAAGAACATCAAGCTAGAATTACAATATGCTGTGAACCCTCCTTTACCCAATCGCTTTCTGTATAGCTGTGTGGGGTGGTGGTCAAGATAGTTATACATCGTCTCCTTTCTCTTCTCCTTCGTTATGTAGAACCAAACGAAATGAGGCAGAGAGGGAGTCCTTTACTCGTCGTCAATGTTTCCGACATTGGGCCCCTTACGCTCCTCCCCCTTGACGACACTCCACCCCCACGTGCCCAACGACCGCAGCGTGCCCTTGATCCAGCCCTCAATCTGCGTCTCGGGGATGACAATCGCCTTTGCACGCTCCTCATCCTCAGCCCGGATCTCAAACCGCCGCATACGCTGCGCGATGCGGGGATCAATGACCATGGGCGAAGCCCAGATGCGCTCCTTGGTCTTCTCCTCCTCGTCGGCCGTCGCCTCGTCGACGGGCTTCCAGACGGACTTGACCCAATCGCGTTCCTCATGCACCAGGGCACGCTGCTGTTCGTACGGCGTGGGGGCGGAGGAGTCATCTGCGGCGGTCTCGGGTTCGGCGTCGCGGTATTCGCGGGCGTGGGCGAAGCAGGCGGCTGCGACTTGGCGGCCTACGTCGTCTGCGAGCTGGCGGCGGTTGAAGAAGCGGCCCATACGGGTGAAGGTGCCGGCGAAGCCGAGGAGGTGGGGGAATTGCACCGGTTCCGAGGGGGAGAATTCGGTGGGGAGAGTGGAAGGGAGGTGGGAGGCTGAGTAGTCTGCCGTGGTGTTGTAGGGAACGGGTTGGCGAGGGCGGTCTGATTTCTTTTCTTCTTCCTTGGGCTTTTCTTCCTCCTTCTTTTCTGCTTCCACGGCACCGCCCTCTGTTTCTGTTGCGGTAGAATCTGAGGTCGCTTCTGATGCTGCGGGCTGCTCAGGGGTAGAAATTACCTCGGGCTTGGGAGGCGGGTCGAGGGGACCGAGCCAGCCCTCGTGTAGGCCGCGAACGTACTCCTTCCACGCGTGACGCCCGATAACAATGTCTCCTCCGGGACCCTCGAACTCGGGTGTGTTGTTCTTGGCGCGGATGGCGTCGCGAATATTCTCCTCGGTGGGGAGCAGCTCGACCTCGGGCCTCTCCTCCCTGCTCCTTCGCCTCCGAATCTTCTCCGCCACGGCGGCGCGGACGTCACCTTGCTGCCGGCCCTGGACAAACTCCCAGTCCAGACCCGAGGCGGCGAGGATGGGCTTGACGTACTCGATGAAGTGGTCCTGCGCGACGCGCAAGCCGTCGCCGGGCGGGGAGGCGAGGACGACGGTGAGTTTGCGCGGCAGCTGAGAGGGATCGGTAACAGGTTCGCTGGCGAGCGGGGAGACGGCAGCGGCCCAACGGGCTGTGGCGCGCTTCTTTTCGCGCTTGTCGTAGATGATGGCGGAGGAGATGGCGCCTGTGAGGGAGAGGAAGATGAGCCAGTTGCGTGAGGGTAGGCGTTTGGGAGGGCCGCGGAGGCCCATCATTTGCCAGACTGGATTCGGTTTCGCGGCTTTGTAGCCTTCTGCGGCGGAGGTGGCTGTTGTTGTGGTTGTTGTCGCAGCGGTAGGAGTGGGTGCTTTCGGGGCCGCCTGGGAGATGCCATTGTCAGTTTTGAGGTTCGTGATGGTAATGGGGACCGCTGGATGCTTACCTCGGGCGGCGTGGGGTTCGAGTCCGCCATTATGGGTGTATATTAGGGGGGGTGAAAGTATTTAGAAGTTTTCGTGTAAGACGATCTGGTGTCGCACTGAGAATGCGACTATGAAAACGGTGGCTCGCAATGCCTCAAAATGTCCTGTCCTACCTCAGGCCAGGAGAACTGAAGTGAGGTTTTTGGAAATTTTAGTCGCGATAAGAGCTTCGCCGAATTATCGGACCTATCTGTCCCTAAACGGCATAGTGCGGAGTGAAGACTGACCGCCTTCTATAAATGGAATAGTGCCCCGAGGGACGTACCGAGTGAGCTGTCACCGCATCTTCCTCTCCAGAGCCTCCTCTTTTACCATCAAAGTCAGGTACACCACTAAGTTCAAGATGAACTTCATATTCGCCTGATTTGGTGTAGGGAATTCCTTCCCATATTGTCCGCTTAGATCCTGATCCCGGTAATTGACTGCCCATGTGATGGGTGCTACACCGAGACCCACGTTGGACCAGTTGTCTGGCGATCCCCGAAGAACAGTGGCAGATCCTGATGCATGATCGACTTATTGCACAATGACAGCCCAAAACTCGCGATGGCAGGCAGCTGCATGGCGAATGGGGCGTCGTCGGGCCGTGGTTATTGGGCGACGATGGCAGCGAGCATGGAGCTCAATCATGGATCACTAGGTAAACCTGATACAGGCACAGGGCATCACTTGAGCCCGGCGGCCGTCCTCCGACCAAGAGCTTCGTCATCCCAACCGAGAACATAACGTGTGGCGGTGCCTTAGGCTTGTTGATTCCTCCTGTGCTGCTCACGAGATTACGCCATACGAGGTTGAACGTGGTGGTGCTGTGAAGGGGAACACGGCGTAATCGATAGACAGAGATGGTGCCAAGCTCGCCAGGATGCTGGTGACATGCACCAGACCGCGGCATCGAGGATAGAAGAGCAGGAATGCCATGCCATGCATACGAAGACGAAGAGTGTAACGCTGCCATGTGCCACGGATGAGCTTGTGAGCTTGTTCCTGTGGCGGGTGTGACAATCGTATACGATTTGGAGCGGATGAGAGCGGGGCGGCAGGCGTTCAATATGCTATTTATTGCTAGAGTCGTGTCTCACGGCGGCTGTACACGGCCGACGATGCCTCGTGCCGATGCCGAGCGTGAGCCAGGCTGTTGGGCTGGGTGGGTATGGTAGAAGACGACGACGCCGCCGCCGCCGCTGGACCGCTCGATCAGGAATGAGTTGGCAGTTGTCACACTTCAGTGGGGGGTCGAACACAGTAGAATTTCTTCTTTGTCTTTGGCTATAAGAGAACCCCTGTTGGAGCCTAGGGACCAAGTGACGTGCGGATGCGGACGAGACGAGATGGCGACGGGAGAGACGAACTAGGTGGAAGGGATAGCCATGCTTGTGGGTTAGGCGGGCAGGATGCGTAAGTGATGCGACCGCTTGAGCTTTCCGAAGGGCTAAACGGTATGGCCATTTAGAGACGTAGAGAAATAATCCGAACTTTCAGGTTAGGCTGTCTGCGTCCGGTTGATACCCAAGTAACCTTGCGGCAAGGCACTTGACGTGCTCCGGTTGGAGAAGGGAATTGGCGAGATGCCGGAACGATGTTGCACGGGGAGAAGTGAAAAGCCAATCGCGGAGGCGGAGACTGAAGATGGCGGTGGCACTTTAGTACCTAAGACTCGATGGGTAGTATCAAGTGAATGCTGGATCTCAGTGAAGGTCTCATGTGGTATGTCTGTTTCCCGGTGAAGAGGGGCGGTCATTTGAAGACTGAGGTTCAAAGGTGAGAGACGATTCGGAAACAGAGGCTTGAGAGGCGGTAGTCGTAACAGAGTTTCCGCTGGGTAGTCGAGGTCCCCGGGGGAAAGTCAATGACTGAGTCGAGTGAGTCGGATTAGAGCTTCAGCTCCGGGGGCTAGCTGTAGCATCCAGGGCCCGATACGTTGGCGGGCCGAGTTCCATGATCCATGGCATACGATGATGTCGAATTAGATGTTGAGTCTGGAGCATCAAGATGGAATTCAAGAGTCGGTGAAAGGGGGAGAATAAGCGAGTCGTCGAGGTGCAAGTAACTTCCCATAGTACGGAGTAAGGCGAGGTACATGTCGGCGGTCTCCTGCCAATTGCTTAGTACATCGTCCGCGCCCCTCCTTCCTCGTTGTTGTTTGCCGCCCCGCACGCTTTGTGGGTCCCGACCGATGATGGGGATGTTTGGGAAGGAGCTAGAAATGCAATGCAGCAAGCTGTAGACAGTATTGGTTCCTATTTACCAGCGTGTTGAGAGTGTAAGCGATGCACATCCACGATCGAAGTAAACAGTAAGTTGTCTAGACTGCTAGGGAGTGTACAAAGTAGCAAGAGTCATCCTCGCAAGGCATAAGGCCAGATGCCAAACCTCCAAGTGGAGGAGGTGCGGCGGAGGCATATCCAGAATCCCAGTGGATGCAGCTCCGACCCCACCTCACCCCGCTCATCGGCCACTCACAGCTCGGCATTGGCTGAATCTCAGGGGTACTTGGGGTCCAGCGAGGCCCCTCGACTTTCAAGGCCGCGGCGTCGCCCCTCGAGTGCCCCCTCCCCTGAGTTCTCAGATCCCCGCCTCGCCTCAGGTGCTGGTAGTGTAAATTTGTACGGAGTACGTAGTAGTGTGTTGCTCGTGGCAGGTGCGGCGTGGTTTCTCTTCAGGAGGTCCCTTCCCGTCACCCCGTCTGGTCTTGCCCTTTTTCTTGCTGCGACGGGCTGCATACCTTGCTTCCCTTACCTATTGTACCTTCCTTGAAAAGGGAAGGGAAGGAACATCCTACGACACTGACGTTGAACCCAATTGCATTCCTTCCTTCCATTCAAGGTTTACACAGTACCTCGGATACCTAAGTAATGGTTGACGGCGGAAGGTACCTGCTACCTCTCTCGACCAACTCCTGCCTTCCATTTCCAATGGAAGAAGTCCTTCCTGCACCATGACTCTGCTCCACCTCACTGCCGGGGCCGCTTCGCAGGTGTCCGTCCCTCTGTGCAGTGTGCACCCCATCATCACCCCTCCTCCTTCCCCCTCCCCTCCCATTCTCAGACCGACCCCAAATCCCAAGGCCTCCTCAAACCTTGGAATCAGCCTATTCGTGCCTCCTTTGTACCAAGTCCTCGACCGCCTCCTCGTGTGCGTGCTGAGAGCAAAGTACAGAGTACATTCTAAAATACCAAACACCAAAAACCACGTTATTCCATACGCATCCAATACCTTAGGTACCTTACCGAGTGCCTCGCCCAACATCAGCTATCCTGTCGGTCTCGTGACTTGAACCTCTCTCTTTCTCTCTCTCTCCTCGACACCTCGACGTCTGCCAGCTTTGCCTTTCCTCACCTCGCTCAAGCCACGAGGTGCTTCAACCTATCGCCTCCTGTTACCTGTATACACCGACTACACATAGCTAGCTTCCTAGCTCTGCCCGGTAGTCGTTGTTCTCGCCCTGCACTGCTGGCACCGGGGAAATTCCACCCCTTGGAGCATCAAGCCCCTCTACGCCACCTTTGCACCTTTTTGCTCCATCGGCAAGCGCCCTATCAACAAATCCTCGCCTCCCACCCCTTTTTTTTTTTTGCTGGTGAGCATACGGATAGACAAACTAGCTTCCTCGACCGCCTTTACACTACACTCACTCAACTTGCCAAGGTATGTGGTGATACTCCAACCTCCAGATATCATAATCTTCACGTCCTGTCCTGCCTTACCGACCTTACGTTTCCCCCCATCCCTGGCCTATCCTCTCACTCACTAGGGCACGCACTTACCATTCATCAAGTTCCAGTGGGTTGCGAGGACCTCCCATCCACTCACCCGCCCACCGCAATCTATTCTTCTCGACTTCCGCCCCGGGGAACGACCCCAATCCATCCAACCACCCGCCTTGACCCTGCGCACTGCGGCTGCAACCTTCCCATCTCCTTTAGCAGCCTCCCCGCCGTCTACCACTCTAGTCGTTGCCTCACTTCCACGGTCCGCTCGCCCATAGCACTGTCAATTAAACTGCCACTTTGCTAGTCGCCCGCACAGCCTGCGCAACTACCAACCCCTACCCGCACACGACGTGCCCCCCCGAGTCAAGACGAAACTTCTACACAATGGAGGGTAATAATAACCGTCTCTACCTCAACATCGGTAACCAAAACGATCGTCTGGGTCCCGGCGGCGACCGACAATATCCCACCACGCCTTCTACCTTTCCTCAGCCCGTCTTCCCTCACCAAGGCCAACAGCAGCAGCAGCAGCACCACCAACAAGCCGGCGGTATGCAGCACCAACAGCAGCAACACCCGGGGCAGCAGCAGCAACAGCAGTATGCGACCGGTTATGCTCAACAGGGCTACTTCCACCCGAGCCAGCAGCAGGGCCAATATCCTCCCCAGGGCCACGGCGACTACAACGCGGGCTATCAGCCTCGATCCAACACCCCGGGGACCAATGATCCCAATGTCGGTCTCGCCCACCAATTCTCTCACCAAAACCTAGGCGGCGCTGCTCGGGCGTCGCCCTACGGTTCCCGTGGGCCCTCGCCCGCTCAAAGACCTCGCACTGCCGGTGCCTCGGGACAGACGCCTCAGGGTTACGGACACTATGCGACGCCGCCGATGCCGAACCAGCAGGCAGCTCCCGTCGAGGTCTTTGCTCCTGCTCCTGAGCGACTCTACGAGAAGTACGGCCCGAACGCCAACAACAACCAGAAGAAGTGTACCCAATTGGCATCCGATTTCTTCAAGGACAGCGTCAAGCGTGCTAGAGAACGCAACCAGAGGTGAGTGCAGGACAAAGACTTGCCAGCTCGAAAGCAGCCACGTGCTAATCTCTCGTTACACAGACAATCCGAGATGGAGGTGAAGCTTTCCGAGCCTGGCCAGAGCCAGCAAAGGCGCGAGCAGATTTGGTCCACGGCCGGTCGCAAGGAGGGCCAATACCTGCGATTCCTACGAACCAAGGACAAGCCCGAGAACTACAACACCATCAAGATCATCGGCAAGGGCGCTTTCGGAGAAGTCAAGCTGGTCCAGAAGAAGAACGATGGCAAGGTGTACGCCATGAAGTCTCTGATAAAGACGGAGATGTTCAAGAAGGACCAACTTGCCCACGTCCGTTCCGAGAGAGATATCTTGGCCGAGTCAGACAGTCCCTGGGTCGTCAAGCTCTTTACGACTTTCCAGGACTCTTACTTCCTGTACATGTTGATGGAGTTCTTGCCCGGAGGTGACTTGATGACCATGCTGATCAAGTACGAAATCTTCTCTGAAGACATTACGCGCTTCTACATTGCCGAGATCGTGCTTGCGATTGAGGCAGTCCACAAGCTGGGCTTCATTCATCGGTAAGTCAAATGTTGTCGGTAAGCTCAGAGCCCGCGAAGCTGACAGGCCCAGTGATATCAAACCCGATAATATTCTACTGGACCGCGGAGGTCACGTCAAGCTTACCGATTTCGGACTCTCGACCGGTTTCAACCGCTTGCACGACAACAACTACTACCAACAGCTGCTGCAGGGCCGATCTAACAAACCGCGCGACCGTAACTCTGTTGCCATTGACCAGATCAACCTTACCGTCAGCAACAGATCCCAGATCAACGACTGGCGTCGGTCGAGAAGACTGATGGCCTATTCCACCGTCGGAACGCCCGATTACATCGCTCCCGAGATCTTCACAGGTCACGGCTACACCTTCGACTGCGATTGGTGGTCCCTGGGCACCATTATGTTTGAGTGCTTGGTTGGATGGCCTCCTTTCTGCGCCGAGGACAGCCACGACACATACCGCAAGATTGTCAATTGGAGACACACGCTGTACTTCCCTGATGATATCCAGCTTGGTGTGGAAGCCGAGAACCTGATTAGAAGGTGAGTAAGTCTCGAACAGAGGCATTTCAGGGTACTAATATGGGTCAGCTTGATCTGTAACACAGAGAACCGCTTGGGTCGCTCGGGCGCCCACGAAATCAAGCAGCACTCATTCTTCAGAGGAGTTGAGTTCGATAGCCTGCGTCGCATCAGAGCGCCTTTCGAGCCTCGCTTGACTTCAGCCATCGATACCACGTACTTCCCGACCGATGAGATTGATCAGACTGATAACGCCACGATTCTCAAGGCTCAGGCCGTTCAGCAAGCCCGCTCGGGTGTGCCAGCGGTGGTCGAGGAGTCTCCCGAGATGAGCTTGCCCTTCATTGGATACACCTTCAAGCGGTTCGACAACAACTTCCGATAAGCGCGACAAACGCATTGTTTTGGTGGCCAGCTTATTGCGACTTGTATCCCGATCCCGGGGTGTACCGATATCATGCCGAGCAAGACGCGGAGATTCGGAGGACCAAGAGAATACCTATCAGTGATTCGCTGGCGACTCCATTTTGCCTACTGCCAAACCAATACACCCAGATTCTTGTCTTACAAGATTTGCATTTACCGTTGTTTTTTGTTTTCAATCACTGCATACAGGGCGTTTACTCGCATCAAAGACACCAAGTCGCACAAATCATGTAGATGGGAGGGTGAAAACGAGATGTCTTTCAAGGGGGTATGTAGTCGAGACGGCCGCGGATCACTAGAGTTTTCATTATGAGAAACATGATGAAGAAGACGGATAGTAGGGGGCAGCGTGAGGAGGGGATGTCAGGATGTACTGGTAATGCTGGATCTATCAGTGATGGATGACACTGGGATTCAGAGAGTCATGAGGACGACTGGCAACAGTGAAGTGATAGATGCAATCCAGACGATGCATTTGAGAACAAGACTTGGGACTTGATGGTTCATAATGTTTGTGATGCTTTTATCGTCGGCCTCTGGTGGCTATAGACGGTACATCTTCGAGTGTATACTGTCTTTGAGTAAGTTACGTAGGTTGTTTGGCCACGAACTTCTCATCATTCTTTCAATCCAATTGGGCACAGGCGAAAAACAGACTGCAGGTCCACCGTCTAGGAGGTGCTAGACGCCTCTTCCTCTCCCAGTGTCTTGAAGGACCACATCAAGTTTCTGTATAAGCCTCTGTCAGGAGCCGAAGTTTGCACTATTTGATAAAAGTGACTTGTGGTCAGATTACATTCATTGTTGATGGGTCTACATTCTGTCTGTTTTGTCTTACTATTGGTACTTGTTGAATAAGATGCCTTCACAGGAATCTCTGAATGTAACTTATGAAGCCAAAGCTTTTTGCTAAACTCCATGGCCCAGTGCCACGTCGAAACCTCTCCTGAAGGTTCATGTCAGCTCTTCTATTCCCTTGCCCGGGGGCCTGATAAGCAAAAGCAAGTCTTACAAACAATTTCCTCTCTCGAATTACCCACGCCCAACGCCGTGATATGACACCCCCTGATGTCACTGGAATAGGGCCATGTGGGCCACTGCTGACCAAGTTGACCCAGATAACAACCGTTTGCTTCAATGCTGGCCGAGGCACGAACCCTGATCACTATGAGAGATAGTCTCCTGGTGAATCCTATATCTGAGCGAAGCAGAACTTCCTTCGTGGTATGCCGCAGAAACCCCTCCCGTCATGTCGTTTTTATACAGCCTTTTCTAACACCCTTTCCGCGAACAACAACGCAGCTGTTCCCTTCCCACCACTTCACCTCCTCGTACCAGGCGCCGCAACATACCTCTCCTCGCGCTCCGACATGAACATGACCTGCAGCCAATACTCCTTCGCATCGGGATCCCAAAAGCTAAACTGCTTATCGTCGCGCTTATCCAGCTCGCGCGCGGGGATCTTGAAACCGCACGTCTCGTACGGCTCCGCCGCCACCAGGAGGTACTGGAAATTCTTATCCGGCTCCTCGATGCGCTGCGTGAAGGCGTTCATGACCTGCCACTTGGGCTCCACGTCGGGCGCGATGTCCGGGTACTGAAGCTGAAATAGCAGCCCCTGCTGACGCGTGATCGGATCGCGAATCTTTGTAATCTTGTACCCCGGCCGTCCGATCTTGATCAGATTCCGCCGCGCGCCTCCCGCACCGAAGCCGGCGCCGACGACGCCGACGGGTAACCCGGTCGCCGGGTCGATGTTTTGTTTCCCCTCTTTCTGTTCGCGGGCGGCGCGGCGGGCGAGGTTGGTCTGGTGCTTTTTGCCCTGGGTGTGGGCGAGGTAGGAGCCGTCGTTTTGGTGGACGGTGAGGCAGAGGCGGCACTCGAAGGAGCCGACGTGGTTTTTGAAGAAGTAGGGGTCCTTGTCGAGGTCGATCGTCTCGAGGGCGAGCTTGCGGAGGCGCTCGCGGCGGTCTGCGTTTGTTGCGCTGAAGGAGGCTACGCCGCCGCCGCCGAATTTGGAGCCGGCGCGGTTTTGGTAGTCCATCTTTGTGGTTTATGGGAGGTGTTTCGCGATGTGGGGGAGAGGGTTGGTTGTGGGTTTTTGGTTGTTGAGTTAAGAATTGTCGAGGTAGACCTTTTCCGCCGTGGGAAGAAAGCGCTTCCCTTGGGGAGTTGGTTGTAGTGGTGTAGAAAGGGCGGTGGTCTGGTTGCGGAAGGACCAGTTTGGAAGGCTGGAAGCGACTCAACCGACAAGAGCTTGGAGTCGCGAAAAGTAAAGGTCCACTCGTGTTCACCTCGGCGAATCCTACTGAAAGCGGAGTCAAAGATTCTCCGGCCAATTGATATGGCCCGTGCGCCGGTGAGTCCGGTCAGCTCCCACAAGTTCACAACTTCACACGGCCCACGTCCACTTACACCAACTTCCAACTTCCAACAACCATCACACTTCCCGCACCCCTTTGTCGATATTTCCCTCCCGGAACATCCAGAATGCTGGCTTTCCGCTCAACTTATTCGATTGAGGGCTCTATTCTTCAACAATCCGGGGGCGTGGCGCAATGGTAGCGTATCTGATTCCAGTCCAGAAGGCTGTCCGTTCGAGTCGGGCCGTCCTCAATTCATCTTTTGCCTTTTTGGCAAAGTTGCTGTTATGGAATAAAGACATAATGTCATCTTAGACCTGGCGGCGGCGCGGAGAGAGCTGTGTTCCGAAATTGGTGTAATCACAATGATTTGGCAGCTCACATCTAGCTCAGGCACCGGTCGGCTCAACCTACTTGACGAAGAGACCTCTTGCTTGTCCAGCCGAATTGTCTCGAGCTAAGTGATTTGTTCTATTGGTCACTTCGGCAGGATGATTATGACACTGATAATGCCCTGAGTTCAGAGCTGATTTCTCTGGTCCGGCCATCATGAGATAGACGAGTGTCTAGACGAGGACTTCAGAAGTTGAGGAGCCAAGGTACCCACCATGAATGGTCTTGGCCGCCTACAGCTACTCGAGACTTGCACTCAAATGCCTCTTTATTTCGAAGAATCTCACCGTCGTCTTTTTATTTGGTAGTGCTGGATTCAGAAGCTTCCATTTGTTTATCCGTCAGACTCCCCGCATACAAGACGCAGTGTTTGAGCAGGTCAGGGAGTGATCATGTAATCTTGCATTTTCTTCCCAAAATCCTTGCATAAAGGCGACACCGAAGCTCAAGCCAAGGACCGCAGTGCCGGCATGTGTGCTACTGCGCCTATTGCCAGTGCATTTGCGTCACCCTCATGCGTGCAGTGATGAGTTGGCGAAGAGGTTGGCTGACCATCGGATTGGCTGCCTTATCACTAGGGGAGTTGAGGTTTGGTACATGCAGCACCAGCCTGCGTCTTCAACACCCTCTGGACTTACAAATAGGCCACTGCAAACTCCAAAAACCTTCCTTTCCCTCCAATGAATTCATGAGGGGGTTGTCTGTCAGCCTAAGCGCGACCAACCACCACATGCTATGGCTAGCATCTGCCACCGATATTTCTTCAGCGCGCTGTTCAAGGTTCTTGTCTGACAACCAGATTCAGGAGAAAGGAGTCTCGGACGATGTGTTCGCGCCGGACTTAAGTAGGACGTCAGCTCCCGTCTGCTCGATCGAGCTCCATGCTGGACTCTTGCTTTTTTATTCCCGCCAGAAAGTCCACGATCACAACATGCTCAGCTATATCCTCAAAATGGCTTGGAATAGACCGCATGCGACTCCTGACAGTAATGCGCGCGAGAAGGCGAGTCATTCAAAAGATGATATGCCGACGAGCACGCAAGCTATCTGTGCGCTATGCTCCAAACTTGGCCTGGAGAACTTCAAAGATCTTACCGCCCCACGCCATGAAAAGATGAAGCAAGACACGAATTCCCTGGTTATTTCACTCAGTGCCGTTTTGGATAATCACGACGGAAAACAGTGTAGTTTCTGCACCTTGCTCTTCGATTCCATGTGCGCCAACGGCCTTTTCAACAACCCGTTTGATCGAATGATCGACAAGTCCCAGCGGAACCTTTCGGCCAGAGACAGAAGGAATAGTGCTCAGTTGGAGCTCAATGCAGAGTACGACAAGAATATAGCAGCTCTAGTCGACTACAACACATTCTCAGACTTGCCGGATGCACGACAAGTGCTTCTCGAAGTGTCAAGAGAAATAGCAAGCCAAGCGGAAGACAAGCTACCTGTTGCTGTTTCGATACAGTCTCGGGGCCCTGCTGATGATTCTGGGACTGGCTTGTTCAATGTCAGAGTCTGGAGCTTAGGGTGGGAGCCAAGTCCGAACCCGGTGCTGTCTTGCCTGGGCTCGTTCGACTTGCGCCTCGTCGCAACATCCTCAGACCAATCAGCTAATATCAGTCACTGCTGCGGAAAAGTCATCCAAAAGAGAGTAGACTTGGAGCGAGACTGTCGAACCTGGCTAGACGACTGCCTCAGGAACCACGATCCCAGTAACACCTTGCCGTCTTGGGTGTATCCGGCTCCTGTGGCGGTGGGAGACCATTTCCGACTCATAGACGTCAAGAATAACCTTCTCAAGCAATTCGATAGCCTGCCAGAAAAGTATGCCACACTTTCATACATCTTGGGCAAAGTAGACGAATCCACTCTTCAACTTCACACCACAAATTTGGAAACTCTCAGCCAGTCGATGGAAAATACCTCACCAGCTATCGCAAAAACCATCCGCGACACCATTGAAGTTACCAAGAGTCTTGGGATTCCCTATCTATGGGTGGACAGTCTCTGTGTCATTCAGAAGGATTCCAGCGGATTTGACAATGAGTTAGCTCGCAAATCGCAGATCAGGCAAATGGATATCATTTTGGGTCATGCAACGATTGCTCTGGTGGCCGCCGACGCATTCGATATCAACGCAGGACTTCCGGGAATCTCTACTGACAGAAATACGAAACAGATCGTCAGAGAGATAATGCCAGGACTGACATTCGGACTTCAGCTTCCATCCCCGCAGTCATATGGGATGTGGGATACGCGCGCCTGGACCCTTCAGGAAAAGCTGCTTGCGCAAAGGCTGCTTATCTTCACCGAGGACCACGTAAGTTTCCACTGCCGTCATGGTGTCAAGCGTGAGGATGTGCCGTTCGATCAGCCATTGAACGAATCAACCTTGCTTACACTATCTGTGCCAAGGGATGGGTACCAGAGCATCAAGACGAGCACCAGGTTGCCCAGGTCGGGCGAGAAGCCGGTGATATTAAGGGCGCCACAGTTCACCGAGTATGCAAACATCGTGAAGCAGTACACAGTTAGAGACATCGCGGATTCTGCAGACGTATTGAATGGCATCATGGGTCTATTCAATGTCCTGGAAGCGAAAGGACAGCGGCCGAACGGCGCAACAATGCCCTCGAGGGCGGAGTCGAATTATCTCCACGGGCTTCCTGAGAGATTTCTTGATCTTGCCCTTCTTTGGCAGCCCCCTGCTTCTGATGAAGTACACCTCACACGGCGTGCCGGCGGCACCTTCCCTAGCTGGTCTTGGGCCGGCTGGGGAGTCTCTAAGGTCGCTCTCGGCGACGCTGGAACTCGGAAATACTCAGGTATTCGTTACGAGGAGCCATTTCACGTTTCCAGCAACGGTGACAACTTGTCACTCAAGAAGATCATTGCGGATGATACCCAGGCGGAGGAGCGCTACCAGCCCAAGGTCCTATGGTATAAAGTTCAACCAAGACAGCACCCCATTGACAGTGGGCTTCCACCCTCCCTCATAGGAACCCCTCAATCTCAGAGGATACCAGAGACCGCCCCTCAGCAGAAGCGCCACGCTCCTCCCGTGAGAAGGCCACACGCCTCCCCCCCAAGGGGCTGGTCCCGGGTGCCGAAGCCTGTCCATAAGTCGTCCGGAAAGTCACATCTCGCAGGAAAGACAGACAAGGGAACCAATAGTGGGGGAAACCCGACAAGAATACAGGTGATGGAGATCAGCGCATCCCCTATTGCATGCGTCAATGGAGAAGGCCTAGGAGTCGCATTCGAAAATGCGAGTGAAAGCGATGCTTTCATGAGCGACATCAAATTTCAAGGCGTTGGTTCAGCTGCGCAAACGTCTTCAGGCCGTCGATTACCCAAGACTCCCCATACCCTTACTCTTAGCGATCGTTGTCTCATCTGCGAAACCGAAACCGCTTCTTTTACCTTGAAATTTTCAAATACTATTCGCAAGGAGGTACTTTGGCGGCGGAAAAAGCCTTCGAGCATCAGGGGATTTAATCATACCCAAAGCGATTCGAGCACAGAGGCCCGAAGCCCAAAGCTTGAGATAGACAAAGAGTTGAGAATATGGGAAGCCGAGATACTTGACGACAAGGGTGAAGTCGTTGGTCACGTCATCCCTACAGACCGAAGACAACAGTTTCCCCGGGTCAAGTTCGATTTCATGGTTCTCTCCAAGTCGCAGTACTGGGGAAATGAAAGAAGAGTGGATGTCGGGGAGTTTCCGTTGTATAATGTCATGATGATCGAGTGGGATCAGAGGAAAGAGACGGCCACTCGTTTGGGTGTTGGAAAAGTTCAGATCTCAGCATGGATGGTGGCCAAACCGGAGAAGAAAATTGTAATTCTCGTTTAGGGTTTGTATTTTGATGTTTCCGTACTACACCAAGACTACGAACCAGCAGTGAGGTAAACGCCTGAGACCTCAAGACACACAGTACCTGCCACTCGATCTTCGCTATTGGTCCACCATTTAATTGATCGATCACATTGAAAGTTGCTCATTTTCACAGTATAATCATCATCCAGTTCTATTTGACATAAACCCGCTCGGGAGAAGTCGCTAGCCATTTATGTCACCGAGAAAAAACGTCGGTGGCGCAAGCGGCGCGTCACAGTCGAGCGAGGCTTTCTCTCAGCATGCAGGCTGTGCCAGATAAGCACAGAAGGTAAGCACCGTCGCCGGTTTTCTTCATGCATGAGCAAGGTGTCTTCTGTCGACTTCAATAAGACACTGCCCTTGCTTTCGCCCTGGAGTCAGCCCTAAAGTCTGCCTCCCGTTGCGACCATACCTCATCTTCCAGTAACGCTGTCATCAGCGCAACATAGCCCGTTATCGAATCCTGCTGGACAAGGCCGCGGTATCTGTTCGGTCAACATATGAGTAAAAGCAGTTCATGGTGACTTAAAATGCCAACTTATTCTAGATGGCTGCCTAGATCAAACCTTTCCTGGAGCGCCCGCAGTCACCCTGCAGCTCCAAACAGTGGCGGCCAAGACGAACACAGCTCTGAGTGCCCAGTGGCAATGCTTGATATGGCTGCAGACCATAATAACTGTCCACGAGTGTGCCTGCTAAGGTACTGATCGCCTATTTCAACACTTGTGATAACACAGACCGACTCATGCGTGCTGAGATAAGATAAATATTCACATAGCCACCAGAGAGACTGAGAAAGTCTGGCTGTTCTCACTGCATCTGACAGAACTATAGTTTACACAACACTTTTCCTTTGAAATTATTGAAACCTTCTAACTTATCAATCTCGCTGGAACGACATCGCGCAAAAGACGCTGGTCGCAGTTCAAACCCAAAGGCCCTCATTTGGCGACTGACATGGCAGACAGACTTGACAACACGACCAATTGGCAAGCGCCACCACGATATCTCCAATGGAATACATCAGCAGAGTGCGCACTCTTTGCAGACGTCGCACAAAGTATCCTTCGAACATATTCGGACGACCCTGTTGTGCAAGACTATTGTGCCGTTAATGTCAATGCGCTCCATGCCTACTTCCAATCCTCCCTCCCTCTTTATCTTCGGAACACCACTGGGAGGGCTACATCGTCGCAAGTAGCATCATGGTATATGCTCGGCTGTAGCGCAGGGTCTTTAATCTCTGATATGCCTTGTGAGAGCGATGAATGTCTGAGCGCAGTAGACTTCAGGCATGCCATTTTGGCTGAGATCAGGGAACACAGTACATGCATCAAGGAGCTACGATCTCACCTCCAGCTTCAAGGCAACGCCGACATTGCCGGCATCGGAGTAGGTCCGATGAGAAATAATCACTCCATGTATGATCTAACGTTACTAGATTACGATTTCTCTTTGCATCGAAAGCTTTTTGATCTTCGTTCTCCTTGTCGCTAATATTGCCGAATTTTTTCATCGTCCGAAGTCATCGTCTTCATCAAAAGTAGGGAGGGTGCGGGATGCTTGTCGCGCTGTGTTACCAACATTCTACTGGAGCTCGGTAATTTTCAACCTAGGAATAGTTCTTGCGTCTCTCAATACTGCCGTTGCCGTATCAGGCGACGGGCAACTAGAGGTGATAGCCCGATGGAGAGCCGGCGGAACCTTCGCGGCATATGACACACAACTCGCGACTCTGATATCAGGATTTAGCTTTCAACCAACGTTCATGGCTGGACTAATGATGATAGCGGAGCCAGGAAGAAGGAGGCGTGCACTGAACACCGCTATAATACCTGTGCTCGGACTACTTCTGATACCACTTCTCTGCATGACATTATCATGGTATTCCAGGTTCCCTGAAACGGTGAGCCGGCTGTTCTCCGATGACCTCGAGATCAATACCACGGTGAGGCTGACCCTTTTCGTTTCATTTTGCGCAACATGGTTCCTCCTTGTTCTATCTGGAATTACAGTTGGAGTTGCCTATCGCCGCGTCCCTGGAGAATCTAGGCAAGTGTCAATAGCTTCGAGTAGCCGTCTCGTTACTTTAGTCTATCTCCTCCACATGGTCTCGTTGGCTACGATGTTCACTACGCTTGTTGTATTTTTCTGGCTTCGGAACAGTACGATTAAGAATGCAGGAGGTAGTGACCCACAAGTCGACTGGGGGTTTGGTCAAGTTGTAGCTTTAGCAACTTGGATTCCCGTGTTCGTTGACTTCTTCTATAACTACTGGGGTAAGTCCATCTTCATCCGAGCTTCATTTCATGTTTTGCCCTAACCGTGATCTGCTTTAGTCGGAATGAAAGAGGGCCTCGAAGGCCACATGCCAGGAGACTATAGCGTAGTTCCCACAACAGATCTCGAAAATTACACAGGGCCATCGGAGGGCCACTGGCTGCGACTTATCGTGAGCAGCGACGCACTACCAGAGTCTGACTTCGAAGCCCTCAAACCGTCTTCTTCTTCCTGTCCGCGCTACTTAGAACTCGCACATCCCTTCCCCAAACAACAGCCAGCGCCGCTCCGCCAGGCCCAACGACGGCACTCCACATGACCAACTTCCCCAAGTCCATCACAACCTGTCCAAGGCCCTTCGTCTCATACGCCAAGTAGGCAATCCAGCTCCACGTCGCCAAGGAAGCGCAGTACGTGTCCCACTGCAGCAAATCCAAGATCCCCTTCTCTAACGACACCATCTTCACCTGGGACCACGGCGAAGTAGGCCGAAGAATCTGCACCATCGCCTCGATAGCGGTGTCCGAAGCCCAGTCAGCCTTCCAGAAGACATAACCGATGACGCCGTAGGTCGTGACGGCAACAGCAGAGAGGGCGTAAGTGTAGATCCTGCGAAAGTCATTGATCTTCGTCTGCGGCCTCGACTTTGCGGCTGAAGGGACCACGCCAAGAGCGCTGATGAGTTGGGCAAAGATTAACTGCCAGATGTCGGACCAGAGGGGGAAGGCCTGCCAGACAGCGAGGAGGATCTCCTGGGTGCGCGGAGTGATGATGCTGGGGCTCGGGAGCGCTGCGAGGAGCGTTGGGATGAAGGCGCCAAAGGTGAGGGAGCCGATGACCGCGCGAGCTTGGACTGGGTCGATGGAGATTGCGGCTGCGAGTTCGTCTGGTGTCAAGGACCCTGGGATCGGGGAGGTGTAGAGGTATGCCAGGAAATAGAGCGGTAGAGTGGCGCCGAAGGTCATGAGTTGCCAGAGCATTCCCCAGGAGGTCGTGCTGTTCACTTGTTAGGGTTGGCTTCTACTGAGGTTGTTAAGGACGAACTCACTAGGAGACCAGTCTTTCTCGGTTTCCGGCTCTCAGACCTTCCACTTGAATGAGAACATGCACGGCGAGCAGTTGGCCGGCCATGAAGATTGAGAACAAGGTAAGATTCGGGTCATTGCCGTCAAGGATAGGCTTGAAGAACCGGACGAGCATAGTGAGTAGGCTGTCCAGCGGCTTCAACGTGGTGAACGTAATCGGCTCTCCGGCAAGGGCCGACTCTGTGGAGTCCATGAGACCATTGGTTACGGAGAGGTCGTAAATTGCGACCTTGGCTAGATAGAAGATGGAGAGGAACACGGCGGTGAACACTGGCCGAGACATGTTGGCTATATTTTTTTTTTTGATGACTGGAGATGCGATGAAGTATTTGGTGATGAGAGAATGGAGTCTTTGCGGTTGATCGTACCGGACCCGAGCGGAGTCGTCCTGAGGTTAATCTCACCGTGGATCCCGGCGATCAGCTGATCGACGCAACTCATCTGAAGTTGTACCCGTCCACATCCTCGGGAAGCTATAGTGTTCCCTCGGCAAGAAAAGTCATAGCATCCCACTTGATGGGTCTCATTGGCCAGCTCATCGACACTTGAGTTGATTGAATTGTATGTGATTTGTCTGAAGATTGAAAGTAAAAAGTATCCTCCAAGCCTTTTGTGGCCCACCCTGAACGCCGTTTTGATGAATTGCTAATTACTCTGCAGAGCGATGATGCAGTAACATTACAGTTGTATCATGCGATTCCCCTCCTGTCCTTGCCTTGTTCTATGGTGTGTGCATTATGAGCTCGACGGCTCTGGGGATCCGGCGAAGCGGAACACCATGTAAAGCAGCGGCGCAATCTTTCTGAGTCATTCGGACCTCTTGCTTTCAGGCAGAGGCTGAGGGGACTCGAGCCAGCCGCGCGACGCAGCGTCTTTGATGCCATCGAACCAGATGTGCGCCATCTTTGCGTAGCCCGCGTCGCTGGGGTGCGTGCCATCGACGAGATCGCTCTTAAGCGGGCCCTTGTCAGAGTGCATATCCACGAGGACGACCTTCTTGGAAATTGCCTGCTGCTCCGAGGCCAGCGTCTTGTACTGCTCGTTGACCTTGAGAACGCACGCCTCCGTGTTGTTGTTCCCGTTCACGAGGAGGGTAGAGAGGACGATTGTGGCGCGCTTGGAGGTGTCCCAGATGTAGTTCATCATCTCGAGCATGCGAACGTGCGCGTTATCCGTGTCATAGCTCTGCGCGCAGTCATTTGTGCCGGCGTTGATGAGAACCAGGTTCGGGAGCGTCTCGGGGACGGAGATCTTGGCCTTTGCGAGAACCTGCTCGATGCGGAAGCCGGACCAGCCCTCATTGTCGTTGTCTTCCATTGTGCCGTTGGGGTGGTTGCCGACCATGTCGACGGGGTTCCCGTCGGCGACGAGGAGGTCGCGAAGGACCTTGCGATAGCCGTTGCCGTCTGAGGAGGTGAGGCCGTAGGTGATTGAGGCGCCGAGGGGCATGAGGCGGAGGGAGACGTTGCCGCCGACGAGGATGTTGAAGTCGGCTCTTGGGTGTAGTGCCGGGGCTTGCTGCGCGGGGGCGGCGTAGACTTTTGAGTGGGTTAGTGATGCCGTTGAAGATTTGGAGTAAAAATCCGGGGTATTATGAAAGATGCACTTACCAGCAGAGGTTGACGCCAATAATGTGGCTGCCCACCGGAGGAGGAAGACGTTTGAGTACATGGTGGTGGTGGTGAGATGTCTGATGCTCAGGTGATGAACAGCAGCGTGAGGTGTTCCTAGGTGTGAGTGAGATGAGTGAGGTCTACGACTGCTACGATGAGACACTACAGACACGGGTTCACGATGAGACGCATGGGCAGCGGAGAGGTTAAATAAGTATACAAGATGCCCGAGTGAAAGGATCGGATACCCAGAGCCAAGGAAATAAGCTCACATAGGCTGGGAAACGGATCATCTTGTGGCAAGGACACCCCCTTGGTGCGACTCGGTACCTTGCTTTGCCAGCTTGCCTTGCTTCTCTTTGCGCTGTACGAAGCTGCATACTGCAAGCTCTAGTTCATTGAGAAACAACCCCCTTCGGAAGGATCAGACGGCTCATTGCGATGTTCATTGGACCAATGCCGTGTTCGGAAAAGTGAGGTGGGCGGGAAGAAGAAGGGGGGAGGGGGGTGTGTGACACTAAGGCGTGCAAGGACGCGGGGGTGGTCGGACAAGGATGACGGAGGGGAGACTTTAGAGGAGCAGTGTCTGGATGACATGTCAAGGCGAAGGCGAGGCCGAGGGATAGGATTATGTCAATGAGTCCGAAGGACGGGATGATGGTCAGGGCGAGTGACAGGAGAAGGACGTTGGAAGTTCGGGGAGGATGAATGAGGCGGCGGCGGAGGCACGGCGGTGCGACTTTCAATCGCCGTGATCCTTCTATCAGTCTCGTGAGTTGTTAGTGTGAGATGAGATGAGCTGGAGTGAGAAAAGAGATTGAGTGTTACGTGGACGGAGTGAAGGGCCCCAAGGTCTCGTTCCTTTGAATGTTGCCATCCATGATCTATTCGTACCGTCTATGATCTATTACACGCAAAGAAGAAAAGACACAGAGCAAGGGTCCGACGTTGGAATGTCTCTCGTCTGGAAAATACGGCACAGCAACATGGCTTGAGAGTTCCATTTCTTTGCATCTTTACATCTTAGCGTCGGTACCTGAAGGTGGTTTTTTGCACACTGAGTGCAACTCCCCGCAGAAAATTGAATGATCTCTGGCAGGGAAAATGAGTCTTGTCCCGCATTAGGCACCTGCCAATCTGTTTCACCAACCCCGGAAGTCTTCCACTGAGCTTCCATTTTTACCGCCATCTCACTTTTTCTCATTCAATCTCCATCATTATTCCTTGTGTTAAGCTGTTTAATTATTCTCCGTGGCTGGGGCTCATGGGATCATTCGGAGTGTGAGTGGTTCAGTGAGATTCACATAAGAGAAACAAAAGTACGGATAGGAATAATAAGACGGCTGGGTTCGGATGGTGAGAGGAGACTGTTCGGTAAAGAGTGCTAGTGAACTCGCGCCCCATAGGTGAGAATTTGGCTTCCCCGGCGGAGTCTAGAAGAAGATCCCGTATGGCTGTTTTTGGCGTCATCCCGCAGGCTTCAAGCATCGAACAGATCCCTGACCACCCTCTTTTCCCTCCTCATCCTTATCCTCATCGGCCAGTCGCCGTTGCATCTTCCTTTATCCGGGAATAGCTGTGGCTTTACACGCGGAGTCCCTCCGAACTCTTGGTCCCAGCAAATAACTTTCCGACGGCGGCTCAGTTTCACTCTTACAAACACAGCCGCACGCCGCGCTTCTCCAGCCTCTTCCTGTTGTCTTCCTATTTCCCACTCACTCTACTCGGTACAGAAGTCTCTAATGCTGCGCGCCCATGTCAGATATTTCCAGCCCGGACTAATCTCCCCGACTCCTGCGTCAAGCTTGATCTCGTTCCTGCCTCTGCCTCCTTTCTGTCCCACCGTTTCGTGTCTCTTCATTGCGCTGCTCGGATCCCCTTGTCCGAGCCCCCTTCTGAATTCCAGGGCCTCCAGCTTCCAGGAGCCCTTCAAGGGTCCCGGCTGCCGACAACGCGAGGGATTCGGTTCAATGACGGAATCATGTCCCAACCCGGGGCGCCGTCCGGACTATTGATGTGCGTTCACGAAAGCTGACAGCACCCGCGCTCGACAGCGCGCCAGAGTGACAGAAATGCAGAGAGACGCATGTCCCTTGCGGTCGGTCCGAGTCCCTGACGTCAGGGATCGACAAATGCCAGCAAGGACGCATAACAGTTGAGAGTGTTTTTTCTTGTCGCGTGGTAGACCACCACCGGCGATTGCGCACTACTTCTGAAGGGGTCAGATCGGCGCTCAAAGTTGATCGCCTCAAACGATCTCACTTGAGGGCAATGCGGCATCGCGGCGTTCGCAGCAGGTGTGAGAAGCCAAGTCTTGGAGGGCCGGCAGAGATGTGCCAAGACTGTAAATATGGTCTTTCACGTGAGACGACATCAGATCCAGTGTGCTTCGCTGATGAGAGTCGGAGTATTTATGTGTGATAACGGATTGCATCGACATAGCATTTTATTGAAATCCGGCCCTGCAGCGCTGCTCTACAGGGAGCCTGTCAGCTTCAGCCTTCACCGAAGGTCTTCACCGAGACCGTGATACTCACCGAGATCTCACCGAGGATCCCATTCTGAACCTAGAACCTCTGTCTAGACAGCCTTCTCTTTCATTAAGGTCCTTATTTAATGCAAGAGCTTGTGAAGTCATATGATGAAGCTCAGGCACAGGTTCTTCTTCATCTTAAAAGACTCTACCGTTGTGAATGACCAGCGACAAGTGACTCTGGTCTCATCTCAACTTATCTGCGGCCAATAACCGTTGGCTCCGTCACACCCTCCAACGGCCCGCTGCAGTGTTCCGTGTTAGTGCAGGTTTGGTTTTACCCATATTTTTGACACGAACACCATCAATGTGATCGGTTCGCGATATCGAAATGCGACCGGAAGCATGGTCTCGTAGTCCCTTATGACCTGATGCTTATCACGTCTTCAGGTCCGTGGGTTGTTGTTGTTCCCCAGCCATCCCCGCCATGTGTGATGTGCTGGTCTTCATAAATGATGGCTGTCCTTGAGTTATGGGAATCAAGTGTATATATCCCTCACCCGGATCTCAAAGTTAAAGGTTTTATCTCTCGATATCTCAAAGACCCTTGCCGAGATCAGAGTGCCGAGTCGACTGCCGAAAGCAACCATGTCGAAACCTCTCCCCTCCCGTCCAAGTGACGATCACGACGACGAGAACTCCCCGCTTCTACCCCGCGATGCCTCCCCCTCCTCTCCCCACAACGAAGCCGATGCCGACCCCAACCCCTCGACGCTGCTCCTCTTCCGCCGCGCCGTCGGCATAAACACCCACCTCCAGCCCGCCGACGACTGCGACCTCGAAGCAGGCCGCACTTCCGCCCTCGGCATCTACGCCTCCGCCATCGCAGCCCACCGCCGCTTCCGCACCCTCCGCATCCTCGCCACCGTACTCATCTACAGCTGCCACGCAACGCAAATCGTCGTCGGCGGCGTGCTCACTTGCCTGGGCCCCAAGGCGGGGGTTCACCGAACAAGTATCACGGTGCTCGGCGGCGTGAATACCGTTGTCGCGGGCGTGTTGACGTGGATGAAGGGGCAGGGGATGCCGGATAAGTTGAAGAACAAGGAGATTGATTTCCGAAGACTGCAGAACTGGATTGAGGAGACGGAGGCGTTGATGGTTCTCGGGACGGTCGGCGGGACGAGGGAGGAGGTTGGGGGGTTGGTTGAGGCGGCGTATCGGCGATGGAATGCGGCGAACGAGCGGGGAGAGGACGGAGGGCCCGGGGAGGAGTACGAGGATGAAGGGAGAAAGGGGAAGGGCTCGACGATGAGATGGCTTCGGGGGCGGTGATACTCAGGTTTGAGATGCCGAATCTTACTTGGTTCGTGCGAGTTGTGAGCAGTTCATTGATCTCATGAAGAGCGCGGCCCTTGAATCATATTGAGCTTCAATTTACATCTCATACCGACTTATCGTTTTTCACAGCTTAGCCTTCATGACGACAGCATCACTGCCACTCTGCTGATTCCTCTGTCCCCTCCTCAACATGGGAATATCATCCGTCACGCCAGGTATCTCATTCTCACACCATTCATGCCCACCCAAACCACTCGCCAGTATCGCACCAAACCCTCCCTTCTGACCCTTTTCCCCGATGAGAGCCTCCTGGTCAAGCGTCCCAAGACAAATACTACCCCACTCCTCCCCCTCGCCATGGTAGTAAAGCCACGAGCCGCATTCTGTGCAGAACCCTCGCTTCGCCATGGGTGTGATGCTGAACTCGCGTAGCGTTGATGTGCCTTTGAGAGACGTCCACTTCATAGGCCAGGGAACGCGCTGAAAGGCGACGAAGAGGGCGCCGGATTGCTTGCGGCACTGGGTGCATTGGCACGTCTGGGCATTGGCGTTGAAGTCGTGGGTGTCTGAGAAGGTCGCTTCGTAGCGGAGGGCGCCGCATAAGCAGCCTCCTGCTACCGTCGTGGGTTTTGGTCCCGGTGAAGAGGCTGAAGTCATCGTTGTGTAGTGGTGGGGGGTCTTAAAGGATATCGTGGTGTTGAGTTGTTGAGTGAGATGTGAGTGAGTTGCGACCGGTGAATGATGAGGTCTCAGGCTCTAAAGGCTCCAGATTTTGCAGTAAATTGGGGTTATTGACACCTTCAAGACGAACATATGAGAGTCGAAGTTTACATGCTTAAAAATCTCAAAGGGCGTGAGTTTTGTGTTGTGTTTTGTCAGCGTCTACGTCAGAGTTGTCATTGACGCCCTTCGCGATGCGGGTGCCGATAACACGAGCCATAGTCAAGCCCCGCCAATACTTGACATCGCCAACACCTCAGCGCAAACTTGATTGGACTGCTTAGGGATAAGAGTGTCATTAAATCGTGAATTGCATGTACAATCTGTCTATGAAGTCTTTCATATCTCTATATCGTACCCCTTCTGTACCTGTTCTAACCAGTCGGAACCGTAGAACCATACCTTGTCCTAGTTTAGTATGTCATTTCCAAGTGTGGATGTCTTCATCTCAGTCTCAATAGACAATGCAATTCATCGGTCCTCCTCATCCTCTGCAACCCAATACGCTTCAACCTCAACGATGCACGTCCGCGCCGGGACCGTAACAGCAATGGGGAATCCACCATAGTCCGGATCGTCATTAGGCATAATCAAAAACTCTCCGCTGCGCGTCTCATCACCATTGAACACCCGCAGCGTCCGTAGCTCACCCTTCTCATCAACCTCTTTCTCAGCAGCCGCAAGAATTCCAGTAAACGTTGCTTCCGGGCGCACGCTCTTGAAGTGGACGTTGAAGCCGCGGCCCACGGCCAGGAACTTGGCGTCGCCGAGGTGAATAATCATACCGCCGCCGGGTCCAGGCTTGCCAAACACGAAAGCGCGCTCGACGATGACCTCAACGTCGCCAATCACTTTGGTCCACCTCTCGCCCTTGCCCGCCGTGTTGATCTCCTCGTCAAAGAAGAAGCCGAACCTATCCTCGGGCTTCGCGGCGAGCAGATACGGCGCCACCTGCGCGAGCAGCTTGAACTCGCGCCCGACGATCTCCGGGCCGGTATCGATGCCAAAGGGGCTCGCGCCGAGGGCGCCGTAGGTGCCGTAGGACAACCACACCCGCCGGGCACCGTTTTCGTCGCGGCGCTGCTCGGGGATGAAGAGCGGGTTGCCCTGGGCCGTGTAGTCTTTGCACACGGCCTCGTAGGTATGGAAGTAGAGGTCCGGCGCGAGGAAGTCGAGGGACTTTTCGGCGGTGAAGATTGTGTTGTGGCGCCAGATGTCGAGGACATGCGGGCAGGGTCCGCCGGAGGGGTATATGCCTGGTGCTGCGCCGCCGCCGACCACGATGGGGACGCCGCGGAGGTCGAGGTCTGCGGGGTCATCGAAGTTGAGCCAGGTGTTTGTGTAGAAGGGGATATCGTATTCTTTCTTTCCGGCGGCGGCGACGCGGCCGACGTAGGAGGAGATGTGGTAGGCCATGAAGGCTTCGTCTGCTGAAGGTCCGGGGCCGAAGACGGATGTCCACGAGTGCGAGCCCGAGGCAGGCGGGTCGGCGAAGCGGGCCTTGAATTTGGGGTGTAGGTCGGCTGATTTCTCGTTGAGGTGACGGAGGAGCGCCTCGGGTACGGGCGCGGCAAAGGCCTTGTCGGCGCGGCGGGAGCGGTCGCGGGAGTCGCCCAGAAGACCCGTCTCGTTCTCGACCTGGATCATGAGAACCGTGTTGTGCTCGGCGTCGACTTGGGCGAGGTGCTTGCACAGCGCAGCAAAGGCCCTCGAGTCCGCCGCGCAACCCTCCTCGCTGAGCGGCGTGACCATCTCAATGGTCCTCTTGACGCCTCCCTTCTCAAGGACCTGCACGCGAGGGAAGCGCTTAGTGTCTCGTTTTACCCAGTGCGGCGCGTACGTCGAGATGCCGTTCTTGTAGGTGCCGAACCACAGGAGTACGAGGTGCATATCGTGTTCCCGCGCACCGGCGAGCACAGCGTCGAGCTCGGAGAAGTTGAAGTTGCCCTCGGTGGGTTCAATGTCCTCCCATGTCACGGCGCCGAGGAGGGTGTTGATGTGGTTTGACTTCATGGCGGGCCAGACCTCGGACATGAAGCGGGCGGAGGAGAGGGAGGAATTGTGAAGCTCGGCGGAGAGCATGAGGAAGGGCTTGCCCTTCAGGTAGAGCTGGGTGTTGCCATTGGTGCGGCGAAGGTGAGGGAGTTGCATGGCGGGGGATTCTGATGCTGTCATGATGGGCTATTGAGAGAGAGTGTGTGTGGGTGTGTGTTATGTTTGAAGGCAGCTGTGAACGAGACAGCGTGAGATCAGGGAAGAGGTAGAAGGGAGAGGGCAGATAGCTGAAGACCACGGATTGGAAACGCTCGTCGCTCGTTGTCAGGTTGAAATAATGTCAGAATGATTTCGAGTCAACATTATCCCGAGGAGCTTTCTCTATCAACGAACCGCTTTTTGGAGGGTCTCTCGCCGGCGCCAGCTCCGCCTCGGAGAATCCGAAGATGACTTGCTGAATGGCTGTCCGGTGTGGGCTTCTATCTGCTTCCAGCAGTCGAAACGTCCGCCATTCGTCCGCTTCAAGGCGTTTGAATGGGGAAGAGGATCCATTACTGCCGCGGCATGTCAGACGGGAGTTTGCAGATCGCCTGATGGGCCGAGTTCGATCCCTTTAGATGGCTTCGGATATTCTTCGCAACTCGACTTACAGCTTCGGGTATGCCATATTCTGTTACTATTGTCCTATGTTTTAGTCCATGTCAAGGTGGGTTAACATTCAAGACTTAGGACCATTTCCCCGCTTCTGATGACGCATTTTAGTTGGAGAAATTGAAAGCTGGAAGAAGACTCTTTGATCCGAGTTCCAGGAACTAAACATGCGTTGACTTCGGAAATACTTCGCATCTGTTGAGGCTTTGGATCTCCTCAAACCCACAGTCTCCAGAAATAAAGTCTCCGCAACCCACAACCACACCGGATGGATTGTGGATGTGTGGAGTCACAACGTTCCGTTCGGGCTGCCGCCGAAGAGAGTTCCCGCCCACCATCACATCCTCCTGGGGAAAACATCATGGGACGTTTCGGTTCATGCATGAGGTAGTCGCACTAGTTTCGCGGGTTAAGTAAGTACTTTGGGTCATTTAACTTGTCTTTATTTCATTGCCTATTACTCTGCGGGCTCTCGATCCCAGGCAAGCCAGGCCAGCAGTCAATATCATCCAGCTTCCGCAGTAACTTTTCCAGCTTCAGCCTAGCGCCCTCACTCACCAGCGCGCCGTCGCCAACGTCCATCTGCTCCATGTACGCCGCCCCGCAGTCCCTTAGCTTCGGGATCAGGCTGTTGCCGTTCTGCTCAAGGACGTGCTGCGGCATGTGGTACAGGATCTCGAGCAGGTCGTCGACGATGCGCTGGTGCTCCGCCGCGCGCGTCTTGACCGTGGAACCGAACTTTTGCAGCAGATTGGAGCGGATGTTGAGGCTCGTGATGAAGAGGTTAGCGATTTGTGTGTCGTGACCTTCTGTTATGTGAGAGGGGCGGGACAGACCCCCGCGCCACCGTAGTTCGGGCGGAAAGTTGTCAATGATTGTTTGGATTTTGGCGAGCCAGTGCTTGAGAGCCTCTTCTTGGCCGCCGTAGAGGCTCATGGGGGCGGTTTGCGCCTCATGCCATATCAGGAAGAGGTCGCTTAGCTGGTTTAACCCCGGTACGTAGGAAGTTGTATCGCCGTGCCACGGCGGTAATTCCGCGTGGGACAGCTGTGGCCCTGTCTCGAGTTGCGAGTCTGTCAGGGGTAAAGGGCGCAGGTGGGCGCGGTTCTCTTGATGAGAGACGATACTTACGGACAGTCTGCCGAATATGTCCGCACTACTGTTCAGATGAAGGAAAACGTCAACCGAAGATTGTTCCTCATCTCGACTTTTCCAAGCTTGTGTTTGCGTTTGGGTGGGGGATAAAGACAGGGGTAATTGCATTCATTCATGGGGACAACGTACCAATACGCTGCAAAGATCAGCCAAAAGAGCCTCTTCAGCAGCTGCTGCTCGGACATATCCAGGTCCGCCATGCGGTAGTACGCAAGGAACCTCGCCCCCGCCGCCGCCTCGGACATACCATGGAACGACCCCATGTCCCCCAGCCCGTCCTCGTTCATCGAGCTGGCCGACGTGCCGATATTGTACATTGCGACGCACCAGTCCAGCGAGTAGACGGGCTTCCGAAGGCCATGGTCGAGCAGGTGCTGCTCCTCTATGAAGTCCAGGCACCGCTCGACCGTGACGGGGCTGTAGTCGGCCCTCCGCAGCGTCGCTACCGTCGCGGCGCAGACGCTCACGACGAGAGCGCAATAGGTGCGGTCGGTGTTTGCATCGCCGGCTTTGAGGCGGTGCAGGAAGCGACGCCGGTGGAGGACCGGGGCGAGGGCGTGAACTTTCTCGAACCAGTCGTGGAGCATCCGCTGGACGAGGTCTTCGGGGGCGAAGAGGGCGAGACGGTTGCTGTGGTGGGATCCCGTGGTGTTGTTAGGACTCGGCGCGCCTGCGATGATGGCGCGCAGGTCTGTTGCTGAGTGAGGCGTGGCAGTTGTGTGAGGGTGAGGGTGAGAGTGAGAGTGAGACTGGGGTGTCTGAGTGTGGGTCGAGGATGTGGCGGCGGGTGAGGTTTGGTAGGCGAGGCCTACGTCTGGTGAGGTGATGTCTGATACTGAAGGACTCCTCTGGCTGGCAGCCGATACGGTAGCATTTACTTGCTGTTGCTCGTGTTGTTGCTGCCGATGTTGCTGTGCGTGTCTGTCATGGTTGGTTAGTATGTGAGCTGTCGGCTGGATAGCATCATCCCATGATGAGATGAGATGCAGGGCCGGGGCTTGGACGGACTTGTTTGGTGGTCCCCTCCTCCTCCGCGGCCGTTCATGAGTGCATTGTATGTCGAGGAATGTACAGCCTTGGCATCGACCCTCTCCCGAGCCGTAGAGACACTGCCGGTCCAGTCAGTTCAACAGAGCCTGGGGTGAGATGGTTGAACTTCGGGACGAAAGAAATATGGGATAGAATTGACCAATGTCGTCCACGGTCAGATGTTTACAAAAGTCTCTGTACGAGGTACCCAACGATGAAAACTAGTCATCATGGGTAGAGGTCTCGTGAGACATCAAGGGCTAGACTTTCGTGCTGCTCACTCTGACTTTGCGGGACCGACATGCGTCGCAGGCGTTCTGATTCCTGATAATCTTGGCCCTCGGCCGCCCACTGGCTGGTGAGGCGGGAGACGTCGAAAGTGGGGAGTGAGCCCCGTTTCCGTCCGGTGGTGGCCCAGTTGCTTGATCGATCTCCATGATGTGTGGCTTGGGTGGTTGGTTGGTAGACGGCAGTAGTCTTTGTCAGACCGTATCAAAAGACCCGAGCCCGCTCACACTGATGAGCACCAGATTAGATCGGATCAGACAAGCTGCTGCCACTCATCAAACCTGCACAGCTGTGGGTTGTGTTCGATTCCCCGGATAAACCTCTCAGAATCCGGGGAGGGAGCAGATGATCCAATGGTGGAGAACACAGCTTTCAGCTCTTTGCCTGTTTAGGTGGCGTTTGGGAACATGAAGCTTCCAAGCTGACGATATGGTAGGCTGGAGTGCGGAGAGGATGGATCAACGTCCGTCAAAACGTGGCGGCATGGGTCATGATTGTCCGGCGATATTCCCGCGTTTGTTCTGCCCAGAAGGAGACCCAAAGAAACAAAGATGTTGGAGACTTGGAGTAGTATGGGGAAGGGAAAGTGTGAGAGAGGCAACGGTCGGGGGGAGGGCAGAGGGACATCCGAGGAGAATCGTCGGGAGTTGTGTATTTTGAACCTTCTTGCAGGGCTCTCTGCGTCGCAGAAACGTCGGATTTACTCCTTCTCTCTGCTCCTCTCTGCTCCTCTTTGCTCTCGTTAGCCTCCATGTGCTCGGGAGAAACTTGCAGGGAAAAGCCCCGCACTGGGGCGTTACGAATCGAGTCAGGCCCAGACTCTGAAGGGCATAGCTCCAGACCTTCCAGGAACTCTAACATTCCCTGCTTCCTCATGCTCTTTGCTGGTATTCGTACGAAAGATAGCAAGTACACTGTGATTTTGTTCTGCAAATGCTTGTCGCTCGCTGGGTAGGAAGTCCAATTCTGTCATTTGGTTGGTTGGTTGAGGTTACCTTTTCCCCCGGACAATCCATTCTTCAGTCATTTTCATGGGGCTAGCCCATCCGGACCGCTGGGTTGGAGGAACTTGAACGAATTTCTCGTCCCTGACTAACTAATTGACCACGCCATGCCTACCTAACCTTACTCCCAGGATGTGCCACAGACCAGACCTTGACATGAACAGGCGGCGAGCAGCTTTCCCCGGAACCTAAATGTGGAGAAATAATATTGGATCTTGTACTTCCTGCTCTCTTTTCTTCGTCCAGTCTTTTCCCTGAGATTCCCGCAATCCACCCCCACGGGGACTTGTCGCTCCAATGAACATCTAGTGTCTCGTGCTCCTACTTCTCGGTACTGGCAAAAACTTGGATACCCGCTTTCTCTCAGTGACGCCTCATAGGGAGAGGAGTAGCCCATCTTGTTGAATTGTGTGGCCTGTTTGCTCGGCCGCTTTCGAGCCGTCATCGGATACAGCACCCTCGGTCTTCGCCTCGGGGGTGGGCTGTTCAGTTCGAAAGCGGGAAAGGGCCACGGCACGGTTGGTGGGCGTTGAGCAATATCGAGATGCCATTCACCCAGAACCATCTACTGATTTATTATAAGTACACTTGCCCCGGTCCCATTACCCAAGAATCATAAGATGCAGCAAGCCGGCATCTCGGTAGCGAACACCAGGCCCTTCAACTCTTCTTTTCCGAGTGTTGCATTCCCTTTTTGACTCATATTATACCCAAATCGCAACGAAGTCATGGATCTGAAGCAGAAGGAAAGTCACGGCGTTGACCACGTCGACGTTGCGGCTATGGACGATCCGCATCTACAGCCACCCGAAGCATCGACGCTGCCGTGGTTTAAGCAGACAGAGCTGAGGAAACTTTACTTCATGATGGTCTTCCTCTTCCTGGGCTCTACGACACTAGGCTACGACGGAAGCTTGTTGAACGGACTTCAGACCATGCAGTCATGGCAGACCTGTAAGACGAATGTGATGATTGTGGCATGTTGTGATTACGCATGTCACAATCTTCAAACGATATCTATGTCTCCAACGTCTGTGTACTGACGAACTTTCGTATAGTCTTCGACCACCCCTCAGGAAGTCGACTCGGAATCTTCGGTGCCATGCCAGGCTTTGGCGGTCTCTTCGTCCTCCTCTTCGCACCCTACATCGCCGACGGCCTCGGCCGAAAATGGGGCACCGCCATCGGCTGCCTCCTCGTCATTTTTGGTGCGCTACTGCAGTCTTTCCCCTTTGGATCTGGCAGGGACGCCATGTACCTCATCGGTCGCTTCATCATGGGCGCGGGATCCAATATTTCAAACGGCACTTGTCCCCTGCTCATCACCGAAGTGGCACACCCTCAGCATCGCGGCAAGGTCACGACTCTCTACAACACGCTCTGGTACTTGGGTAGTATCATTGCGGCCTGGTCTTGTATGTCCCCAGTTCCCTGGAACCCGAATCATGGCATCTTACTAATGATTGGTGTGAAATAGGCTTCGGAACGCTCACAAAACAAGCCGGCGATCTACAGTGGCGACTACCTACCGGATTGCAGTGCATGATGCCGGGCATCCAATTGATGGCTATCTGGTTCCTCCCCGAGAGCCCAAGATGGTTGATCAGCAAGGGCAAGGAGGCCGAGGCGAAGAAGGTTCTCATCAAGTACCATGGCAACAATAATGAAAACGACGAATTCGCGCATTGGGAGTTTGCCGAGATCACTAGTACTCTTCGGCTTGAGAAGGAGGCTTCGGCACAAAGCGGCTGGATGGAACTCGTGCGAACTCCAGGAAATCGCAAGCGTTGCGGGCTCATTATTGCGACTGCCATCTTTTCCCAGTGCAGTGGTAACGGTTTGGTGTCATACTATGTAAGTTTTTGGTATTCCAAAGCAGCCCGCAGATGCTCTCAGAGTTGTGAACTCTGAGAATACAGGTTGAGGAACATTGCGTCTAATCAAAATTGTGCAGCTTGCCGTTATTCTGGGAACTATTGGCATCAAAGAGTGAGTTTTACGTTCTCTGCAATGGTTGCGGTCAATGAAGTATCTAACGAAGGTTCTCAGCTCCATCACACAATCCTACATCAACGGTGGCCTGACTATCTGGTGCTGGCTTGTCTCGCTCACGGCCGCCTTTTTCGTCGACCGAATCGGACGCCGAGTACTCTTCCTCTTCGCCGGCGTCGGCATGCTCATTTCATTCTCCATCTGGACGGCTTGTAGCGCAGTGTACGCCCAAACCCAGTCTTCATCGGCCGGCATCGCCGTTGTGGCTATGATCTTCGTCTTCTACGGTGTCGCGGGAGCCGCGTGGCCCGGCCTGACCGTCTCCTACACCGTCGAGATCCTGCCGTACAATATTCGCGCCAAAGGCCTCACCTTGTGTTTCTGCTTCACTGCACTGAGTGGTGTCTTTAACCAATGGGTCAACCCCTTGGGGCTTGAGCAGCTGGAGTGGCATTTTTACTTCGTTTACATCGCTATGTAAGTGCCCTTGCTGGATGATGCTGTCCTGAATAGAAACTGACGAAGCGGTATCCACAGTCTGGTAATTGAGTGCCTGGTCATATACTTCTTCTTCGTGGAGACAAGGGGTCCTACATTGGAAGAAATTTCCATGCTCTTCGACGGCAAAGATTCTGCGGCTGGAGTCGCGAGGGTTCACGCTCAGGCAAAGGTTGAGGAGGTTGAGAAGAGAGAGAGCGCATAAGCATAGCACATTGATATAGCAAGGAAGAACAAGCAGCATTAGTACAAGCCAACACTAATATTGGGGCACGATCTGCTGCTATGACTTATAGGAGATTCGTAACCTGGTTACGCCCCTAGCTTACCGGGAATTCATGTGAACGGCACATCCCACAGGCCTCTTATCCAATTTGAGCTTTCCACATCGTTCCAATTGGCCCCATTCTCTACAAGGTTTAAGTTGATGTGGAGGCATGTGATAGCGATCCTACTCTGACCACTCACGCGCTACTGCTTGGACCTACTCAGTAATGGAAGCCTCGAGGAAGTATGCGTGGGGGTGTTGTAGTTTTCTAAGGCTAGGTAGTCTGCAGCATCTTAGTTGTTAATCGATGACTAGACCGACACAATGCCACCTTAGATCTTGAAGCTGTACCTGACGATCTTTGCGATGGCTGAGATACACTCCACTTTTGAGCAGGTGTCTCACGTCAGGTTGGCTTCGAGTATCTTGACGTGCGAAAGCCATCATAGACCACTGCCCAGCGACGCTGACACCAATGGTTTGGCTGGGTGCGGACACATAGAATGTGTTCATCCATGAACATGTGATAGCCATGATATTGCCATCCACTCTCAGAAATCTCGGTCTCCATACCCTGGCATACGTTGCGTAAGGAAACTACGAGTATTGAAGACCGCAGGATTTTTACCAACCGAGAACCTGAATGGTCGAAGTCTCATACGCAACCCTTTGTACTATATTACTTACCTGCTTACCTATAGGCAGGTAAATCGCGGGCAGGTGCTCTGCTCATTTCCCGTATTACACATATCGTCCTTTGTTGCAGCCACGTGCAGATTATGCTCACATATGCTCTCGGTTTCTTCATTACCGGTGATATATAACGCACTATTGGAGGGAATTGTTTTGCCTGGTCAATCTTGGCACCGATGTAGTGGTCAGGCTCCCCAGTAAGTATCCTTGGTGGCCTGATGGAAGACTTCGCGATGCTGAAAGGTTGGGGCAAAGACAAGCCAGTGCAGATGAGACTTGGCTCGCAGCCTGCCAAGTATTCTTCTACTGTCTCTAGTGGTGGCAATGAGAGACGCGAGTACCTGTGCCACTTAGAACGCATGGCGTACATGGCTTGGCAAGCAACCATCACGACGCCACATTCTCCAACTTTTGTCTATAACTCTTATCACGTTTTGACTTATTCCTAGATGATAAGCCTCTTCCATCAGTCTCGCCAGGTCTATTGACTGAGAATACGTCATCCCAATAATCCTATGTTGGGGTTGTCGTGCGAATACTCTTCTTTCGTAAAGAAAATGAAGAACGTTGCTTCCAGACGAGGCCCTGAAGATACGATAGACAACTCTTGCGACTGGCACTGAGGCCCTACTTATTGACCAATAATGTCTGATGCAAGTTAGCAATTTATTGCTGGTCACAGCTGGATTCTCCAGATCATCATCTCCAGATTATGATCTCCAGATTATCATCTCCGCCCCCGCACCCCCAACGACGTCAATCTTTGTTTCCCCGCAAGATCGTCAGCCTCGCCTGAAGGCATCCAGACTTCGACCCATGAAGCCAAGCTTTTCTTTTCCTGGGGAAAATCCCACCTCTCTCGATTCCCCAATAATAATGAGCGGGGTGCGGGTCCGGGGTCGCGCCGGCCAGCTGGGACATCAGCTTGGCGTTCACCAGACCGCTCAAGCGTGGGCATCTCAACAAACGCCAAGCTTTGCCAAGGGGCTTGTAAGCCCATCCTCGAGCATTGATTCATGGGAATTTTGACCTTCAATCCTCCGTTACATCCTCTCCTACATGTTCCCTTTCCCATGAGGTTTTTGACGATCTAGTAGGGTAGCACCAATGACGGGGTTGGATGTGAGCTCTTGGAGCTATGTCATCCATCAACCACGCAACTCGGAGAGCTCTGAGAGGTTTGGACTGAAAGGTGAAAGATGTGGAAAAATTAGGTATAAAAGAAGCGCAACGATCTGCAAGAGGCTCGGGTTACATTGAATGGTGAAGATTGTTCTCTCAGGTTCTTGATTGATCGCAGAAAGTCCGAGGCCTTTGACGCTCTCAACGCGACCTGATATTTTCACCGAGATCGTTGCATACCGCAGTCACCATGAAGGTCAACAGCGCATCAGCTTTCTCTCTTCTGCTTGCTCTGGCCCAATGCGCTGCCATTGAGCGTCGCCAGCAAGGCGATGGCCCAGGCGGATCCGCAGATGCGACGCAAGGCGACCTTGGTGAACGGCCACCGCCACGGTTCCCGTTTCCTGTCACCAAGTTCCCGGTTCCGAACGAGACTGTTGTCCTTAAGGAAGCCATGTACATCCTTCCTGGGCAGGTCTTCGACGGAGGCATGAAGCGTTACGAGCGTGTTGAAGGCAGCTGCAATGAACAAGCTGGTATGTTTGACCCCGGTGTGATTCTGCTATGATCCAAGAACCTATACTAACTCTGTCCATCATTGCAGAGGGAACGGATGCCGACGCGGTCTTCAATCTTCTCCCTGGCTCGACAATCCGCAACGTCATTATTGGCAAACACCAGGCTGAGGGAATCCATGCATTGGGCGATGCATGGGTTGAGAATGGTGGGACAGTGTTCTGTTTTAGAAGTGCCAAGCTGATTGTGTGACAGTGTGGTGGGAGGATGTTTGTGAGGACGCCCTCACCTCGAAGGGCTTGAACACTCAACTGAGAGTGATTGGTGGCGGCGCTCGCAATGCCACTGACAAGGTCGGCCTTTCTCTCTGCGCCATGGCCAGTAAGAAGATTGCTGACCTTTCTGGAAGATATTCCAAGACAACTCGCTTGGCGGGAAGTACAACATCACTGGCTTCTATGCTGATGGATTCGGAGTTCGTCAAATCTCTCTCTATGCTCACCATGATTAGAAATCCCACTAATGTTATATCTCAGACTTTCTACCAATCTTGCGGTAATTGCCTGAACCAGTCAAAGCGGAATGCAACCATTCAGAACGTTATCGCAGTCAATGGCAACAGGATGGGCATCGTGAGTACCCAATCATTATGCCTGGGTCTTTGACATGCGGCTGATATCCTGTCCTCAACAGATTAACCCTAACTACGGCGACGAGATTCGCATCAAGAACACTCAGCTGAAAGACTTGAAGGTGATGGTCGACAAAGAGATCGCAAACAACATGCAAACTGTTCCAATCACGGTTGGCACCGGCCCAGATCAGAAGTACGCCCTGTACAACGAGACGAGAGACGCTATCACCGAGTGGGAGGGAACTGTGGAGAACGCATACGAGCCCGAGGAGCCATATGAGTGGCTTGAGGCTTACTGGCCGGATGGATTCAACTGATTGCCTCAGATGCGACATGGCTTTAAGGCCGACTGCGATGTGGTGCTGAAGGCATGACACTGTTGACCAATATCATTACTAATTTCCCCAAACAAATCGATAAACAACATTAAGAAGATGAGCTTTTCAGATCTATCATTTGATTACGTTAGATGTGGCTGTCGGAGTTCCTCGACCCTCTCTGGGGACCGAATCTCGTTGCCGGGACCCGGAAGCCCGACTGCCCCGGCCCCGAGTGACCCACTGAATCCGATACCCACCTCGCCGGCACGGCCCTCGGGCTATCGCGACATCGATGGAGTTGGATGTCATACGAAGCCAACAGAGAACAGGAGAAGATGGAAAAGGTCTCAGTTGGCTCTTATCATTGTGCCTTGTCATGCAATCATTCTCAATAGAACCTAGTCTGTCGGGGAGATGGTCATTCAACCACCTTTCATGCGTGCCGACTTCCGGTGCAATCCGGAAACCATACATGTTCTCCCCTGCAACCACGTTGTTGGTCTTTGTGACCCCCCAAATGTCAAAAATCGATTGTTCCTTGCGGACACCGAGATCAGTCCGGATGGGTATTGAGTTGGCGCGTCACATCCAAGCCCTGCTAGCCTCCCTTGCTCTCGGGACAACACGCTACTGTATCGCAATGTCTTACTCGGCCGCGAGCCTTCAAAGTAGCCCGCGTCAATGGTCGCATCGGTGCATGTCCCCGCGTCAGTCTCATGCAGGTCGCACCCGTTGGCCTCGCTTACCGTCAACGGCGAAGGAGACTGAGCAACGACGCATCTTGATTCTTGAAGCTGTGCTGGCCGCATGGAGCGAGACTGCAGCTGAGAATTTGGAAGGCAAACGAATTTGCAATAAATCCCTGCTGAGTTGTAATTGTCGGAGGAGGCGCAGTAATCAACGGGTAGCTGCGTGCAGGAGCTGAGCGTGGCACCATGCAAAACCAACAGAGTTGTTCGTTCGAAACCGTCAAACGGTTCGTCCCAGAGGACTTCGTTCTCCACTATTGAAAACGGCGTTTGGCATCATTGGCTACATTCCAGAGAAACCTCTGTTGGTCGGATAAAGGCCAAAAGTCTAGAGCTAAAACGCATCAAAGCTGGCAGGGCTCGTATTGACAGCAGCCGTGACAAGTCTCGGCTTCGGACAGACTCAGCTCCAAGGGGGGGTAGAAAGTTGATCATTTTCTTTTTTGGGGTGATGATGCACAAAGTGTTCGTCCACGGGACCGGTTGCATCTCTTTGCACCAACAGGCCTTGGCAATCTGCCCTGGCAAACAGTCCAACCAGCCAACCTAAGACATGGCCCACGCCGTCATAATTAGGACCGCAAGGGATATAGCTACCAATGCTTTCCCACCCTTTCCCTCCCGCGTTGTTCGTCACCGTCCCAGCCATTCTTTTTCTCCGTGGCAAGTGAGAGCCGAATTGTTGCCCCTCACGAACTTCTCTCCTCACGACAAGAGCACATCCGCGAAAGTCTACCGGTGGACTGCGACGACAACGAAGGAAATCTTGTTGACGGGGGAGGAATGTGGGACAGGAAAACATCATGAGCTCGTCAAATCCCTACATCAGCAATGGTACATGCTACCACGGACCAGGAGACGAGGTGGGAGAATGGTTTCCGTGTGGAAATGCAGACCTTGGGTACAAGACTTGTTGCCAGGGCGGCGACATGTGCTTGTCAAGCCACGCTTGCTACAATGGTCGGTTCGGAATCACATATCTCGCGGGCTGTAGCGACCCAGACTATCGAGACGCGAGTTGTCCGGATAAAGGAGCCATGAGTGGTAAGTCGAAGTCGCCATGATGAGAGAGATGTATCCATGGGCATGAGACTAACTATTCGATATCAAGATCAACCATGGGCAGGTCTAGTCTACTGCAACGGCACTTCAGAACAATGGGTGGCTTGCGAACAATCGGCGAAGCCCACGACTTTGACATCAGCAGACGTGTGCTGGTGCCCACAAACATCCCGAACCGTCGCCTTCACCGATTCCTCGATCCTCCAAAACGTTGTACAGCTTCCGACCTCACTTGGAGGAAGCGTCATCTGGCAGCCTGGCTATGTCCCGATTCTTACACAGCCCAATACAACCCCGAATCCAACTTCACCTGCCCCGACGACCGCTCAAGCTCAGCCTCCCACAACTACAGCATCAAGCACAACGTCACAGCCGACTGCGACACAAACCTCTTCATCAGACGATACGGCGGGTCTGACGACAACTACCAAAGTCGGACTCGGCGTTGGTATCGCGGGAGGGTGCCTGGTCCTCATGGCTGCTTTGATATACATATGGTACTCCAGAAGGAAATTGCGACAAACGGGGGCGGCAGAGATGGGTAATGCGACTGAAAAGGGAAATGGGTACGAAGGCGGTATGGCCAAGCCATATGAAGCGAATTCGGCGCGGCCAGAGTCCGAAGCAACCGAGTTAGACGGCACCTCCCGGCCCTTCAAATTCGAACCAGCGGGCTTTGGATACAGGGGCAGTCCAAAATTGGAACTAGATAAAGGATGGGCACAATCGCCGAAGACTCCAGTGGCAGAGTTGCCTGGATAGGGCTGGGATGGAAAGTGCTTGGATATACCAGAATAGATTAAATAGGATTGTTAAGAAACAGGTATCGTTTGGGTATCCACCGCGTCATTCTAGTTCTCGGTCGATCCGGCAGGTCGCTTAGTCTCGCCCTCTGTGGCCGAGCCGGATGATTCTTGGACATTCAGCATCGTAGCGGCGGGGTTGTTGGTCTCTGAGACGTGGTTCGCCATGCCGTACCAACAAACCACGCAGATGCCCAGAACGCCTGAGATGATGCTGAAAACAAACGCGACAATTCCCTTGGTCGTGAATCTGAAATCCTGTTAGAGGTACATCTAGGCCGTGAGGGGTTTGATACTTACCCAGCCGGGAGCGGATCGGGAGGTGCGTTCTGGCCGCTGAGGTCCAGAAGGTTCTTGGTGTTGCCGGCAGCGTTACCTGCAACGGGCACGTTTCCAGCTGCACAAACATCGAGATGGTTCTGCGGCAGAGTCAGGGACTTTTGGATCTCCAGCGGTGCCTCAACAAAGGTCGCCAGCAACCCCGAGGTAACATGCCACTCGATGTGGCAATGGAACAGCCAGATGCCTAGATGAAAAGAAGATTGGTATAAATCCCAGTTTTAACCATATCGCAAGGACATACCTGGGTTGTCTGCCTTGAAGCGGAGGACGATGTTTCCATCGGGCCAGAGGACGAGAGTGTCGCGGCGCATAGGGACGGCGGGGAAGTCACTCTCAGTCATGTTTGAGTCTGCAAAAGTACCGCTCTCTTCTTCACCACGGTACAGAGACTGGAAGTGATGCCCGTGAAGATGAAACGGGTGGCGACCGGAATCCAGGTTGTTGACCACGATTTGAACGATCTGGTCCTTCTTCAGAACAAAGCTGTGGGTGTAGTCGCCGTAGACTTCGGCATTTTCCGCATCGGCACCGGTTGTAAGTGCAGTGTACAATGACGGAACCACTGGTGCCTTGTAACTAATGTTGTTGAAGAACGCATAGTTGGCACCATCACCCAAGTTGTCCATGATGACGTTGAGCTCAACGGTCTGGTCTGGCTCTCCGAAACGAGCTAACTCGTCGTGTGGTACCAGCGTCATGTCGTCAAAAGGATTGAGCTCATCGATCAATGCTGGCCCCGGAAGTGAGTTGCTCTCATTGTACACTAACCACCCTGTGACGTTCCAGTTCAGATCATCGGGCAAAGTGTCGAACAATGTCTGGAGGTGAAAATATCGACATTAGCATTTGAGATGGTTTCTTCACGAACGGCCCTATTTGTCTGCATCATTCTGGAAGATTCAAGCTTACCGTGTCCATGCTACTGACGATGGCGAAGTTCTCGGCCGTGGAGTTCTTGGTTGTGAGAAGGAAGCTGCAGCGCTGGGCGACGGACAGGTAGATCATCTCAGCAGTCGCCTGTTGTGTGTAGACACCGTCAACTTCGACGATAGACATGTTGTGCCCCTCAAACCAGAGATATTGTCCTGCAAAAGCACCAATGTTGATGACGCGCATCAAATAGGTCTTGCCTGGCTGGATCGAGATGGTGAGGTTCTGCGTCTCATTCATCAACGCTGCCATTGGCACAGGCTCCGCGCCGGTGGGGTTCGTCTTGCTCATGAACGGCGGGATGAGGTTCTGCATCTGCTCATGGTACCAATCTGAAAGCGTCAAGACGATTTCCTCGTCGTAATCCCCGGCATAAGGATTGTCCGGATCATGGATGATGAGACTGCCGCGGAGTCCGTCTGGGTACTGGGACATGGTGTGCGAGTGATACCAGTATGTGCCCGGTTGGGTGATCTGGATCACCGTGAAGATTGGCATTAGTAAACACTCCGTTGCTAGAGTTCGTAGCCATGCGAACTATAACGTTATAAGGTGTGACTACTCACGGTGAAGTTGTAGAGGAATGATGAGCCCGGCGGGATGGGGCATTGCGACACCTGGGCCGGACCATCCATGTGCGTGGTCCCGTTCATGAACAGCCCGTGAAAGTGCAGCGAAGTGGACTGGTTGCCCAAGTCGTTGTGCACGTTGATCACAATATTGTCGCCAATGTTGGCCTCAATCTGGGGAATGGGCCAATTTCCATTGATGCCAATGACGGGGCGGTCGAAAGCACCGTCCGGGTTGGCAGTGACCCAGCCGACAGTGAAGTCGTAGTTGACTGTCGCTGCAGCAGCGAGCCGCGAGGCCAGGCACGCGAGCGCGAGAGACAGAGTCTTGACCATGGCGACCTCAGTTCACTCTATGGTCCAGTGAAGATGGTCGATGGCGTGTCTTCCGTAGGCTGTCTCGAATGACAGAAGTAGCCGCGATGGGAATTGGCGAGGAGTGCGATGTCCTGGCTGGCTGCCGATGAGAGGAAGACGAGAACTTATCTCTGGCTCTTCGACAGGAAACGAGGTGGGTGGCACCCTACTGCAAGGGAAAGAAGGGAAGATAGGAGGAGCAACCGTTGCCGCCGATATCAGTCTTCGATCCTCTCAAGTTGAACGGGTTGGAGTGTCGGGCGACATATCGGAGTCATCTGATTTTTCTTCCCTCCCGGAGGCTGGCCGACTCTAGACGAACAGGGTCTCTCAGAGGCAACGTTTCCGGGACGCCACTTTCCATGGAAGTAAAGCCAAATCCATGCCGGCACAAAAATCACTCAATTATCTTATCCATCTGATCAGCAAGCACCGGGGTTAGACTAGTAGGGCAGAAATGCTTAGCACCGGGAGACCCTTCGGGGCCTCCTCCACCCGTCGCCCCCCACCATCACACGACCGGCCTGCGTTTGTGGAGACATCTTCGGTTCGAGCTTGCATTTAGATCCATCTTGTAGCGGTACGGTCGAGATACATTCAACGACATGGCTACCAGGATTGTGTTTGAGCGCCGCTGTGTTGGATGTAGAAGCAATTTTAACAGCGTAGTACGAGTGTTACGACTCACGTTGAGCGCCAATGATCATCGCAAGTGTTTGGAGGAGAAAATACCTGATAGGACTAGCCGAGAAACACCCGCTCTTCTCGATCTGTTTCCTGCCCAGCTCGGACCTGGTAATCCAATCTAATCGTTCCATCAACCACCCCTGAGGTGATGGGAGGAGAATCAGCACACCTCCAAGATCCGCAGAGTTTTACAATATCGACCTCCCATGTATTGGTGGGTTCATCTGGACTCTTTGCCCTCCGATGATTGCCGTGTCGACATACCTAGACCCCTCCGATTCCGAGCTCGGCTTGGAGAAGCACCAGACTCGATCCGATAGGCACGACTACTCCCCTTCGATCAGCAAGCCAGATTGATAAAGACTTTCATCGCCTCATCGATCTCGGCTAAGAGACCTCCCACCTTCGCTCCGAAATAGACTTCATCCAACAGGTTCACACTGATACCATCATCACGAGCAAGATGACCGTCAACGTATTTTCGGTCCCCGTCTTCCTCGTCGTTTTCCGCGAGTCTTTGGAGACTGGCATCATTGTCTCTGTTCTCCTCGCTTTCTTGAAGCAGACCCTCGGAGGCCCCGGACGCGATGTCACTGTCTACAAAGCTCTTCGTAAACAGGTGAAGTCTTGGCCTAGGTTTTGTCCTTTTGCGAACTTCGTCGCGTTATGCTAATTCGTCACGCGACGCAGGTCTGGATGGGAACCGCCCTCGGCCTCACCCTCTGCATCATAGTCGCGGCCGCTATCATCGGAGTCTTCTACGGAGTCGGTCGAGACAGCTGGCAAGCGCACGAATACTACTACGAAGGCTCGTTTGCTCTTTTCGCATCCATCATTATCACGCTCATGGGAGTTGCTCTCCTTCGAGTTGGCAAGCTGCAAGACAAATGGCGCGCCAAACTTGCCAAGGCCATGGAGCCCCAAGCAAAGACAACGACCTCGACGTTTGGCTCTCGATTCAAGCGGAACCAGGAGAAATACGTCATGTTCTTCCTACCCCTCATCACTATTTTGCGAGAGGGAATTGAGATGATCGTTTTCATCTTCGGCGTCACTTTCGCAGCACCTGCTACTGCCGTACCCCTCCCGGTCGTGGTTGGTTTGATCGTTGGTGTTTTTGCGAGCTACCTCCTCTACAAGTAAGAATTATTATCACACCAGAATGGTCGGCCAGAAGGCTCTAACGAGAAATCTTCAGGAGCGGATCTACTTCCAAGATTCAAATCTTCCTCGTCGCCTCTACCTGCTTGCTCTACATCGTCGCTGCTGGTCTGTTTTCGCGCGCCGTGTGGTTCTTCGAAGCACAGGAATGGAACACAGCCGTCGGTGGTGATGCGGCTGAGGTTGGCGCAGGTCCTGGATCCTACGATATCGACAGAAGTGTTTGGCACGTTAACGTAAGTACCCAAACTCGCGCTGCAATGGGACCTGTGATCGCGAGACTGACTTCTTGCAGTGCTGCAGCCCTCAGTTGAACGGTGGCGGTGGCTGGGGTCTCCTGAATGCCATTTTCGGCTGGAACAACTCTGCCACCTACGGATCTGTCATCTCGTATAATGTCTACTGGATCTTTGTCATTTGCTGGCTTGTGCTTCTGAGATTCCACGAAGTCAATGGTCACTGGCCCCTCATGAAGCCAAAGACTGCTGGCAAGGTCGAGTCCGCTGAGGAAATGCCAGGAACATCTACGCCTACTGAACACTCTGTCAACGAACCCAAGAAGGATATGTCAACCACTACAAGCGCACTGAAATAATTAGGCACGATGGCGGGCTCGGGGTTTATTTGGTTTGGAGATCTTTGTGCTGCCGGATCTCATCCATGGAGGGGACGAAAACTTTGGTGGAGGGGCACACACACTCTCAAGACTTCGGTCCCTATACCAATACTCTGGATTTTTTGGCTCATTTACCTAGTAATTCAAATAAATATCTGAATAGTCATCAACCTTCTTGCCTCTTTCACTAGCCTCAAACCTTCGACGACTTTCAGTCCAAGTCTATAGCAATCAACCATGTGGCGAACCCGCTCTTATGTTGGACAATATTTGTTTACTCAGTCTGTATCCTTTCCT